TGTTCTTTTGCTGGAGATCTGGGAACTTGACTATTATATGTCTGGGTGTAGTTTTATTTTGGTTGTGACTGTTTGGAGTTCTAAATGCTTCATTTACCTGTATATCAGGTTCTATTTCCATGCTTGGGAAGTTTTCTGCTATGATTTCTGCAAATATTCTTTTCATGTCAGTTGTGTTGCCTCCTGCTCTTTCACTGACTCCTATTAGTCAGACATTATTCCTCTTTGCCTCGTCTTGCAGCTGTTGAATTGATTTTTCTGGATCCTTGCTGATGAGATCCTTTCTTTCACTGTTGCTAGCTGCCATGCTGTCTTCACAATCAGAATTTCTATCTTCAGCTTCATTCAAGCGGTTTTGCAGCTTTCAATGGAAGCTTTGTTTTCCTGGCAGTCTCTTTGAATCTGGTTCATGCGTTCTAAGTCCTTTCTATAATTTTCATTTAACACTTCCATCCATTGCCTTTGTTCTATTTTCTTATGTTTCTTCTTTAGATGTGTTTAGCAGTTCTTTCATTATTATTGTCATTTCATTTTTTACCTGAGAGATTATTTCTGATCTCATCTCTTCTATGGCCTTATGGAGTTGTTTCTTTAGTTCCATTGCAGTCATTTCAGCTATCAGGCATGTGTTTACCAAGTTCTCCTATGTCAATGTCTCCTGGACTTGTTCTGAGTGGGGTGGAGTTCTGGGATTGTGTTTTAGTCCTCTGTTTTGTCATGTTTGCTACCAGATGCAGAAAGCTCAGTTTCCCTCCTTAGTGGCTGCACAGCAAAGGCCGCTAGTGTCCCTAGTTTTCTTGGTGGTCAGGTTTTCCCTCAGTGTCTGCTAAGAAGCACTACTTAGTCTGGGGTTTTCTGGCAGTTGTTGATTTGTATCTAGTTATCCCAGGTCTGAGTTGCGGGCATGGTGTCAGCTGATGGCAGAATGTCTGATCCAGCATCCCCTTGCAGTTCAGGGCATGTGCATTGCCCAGACTTGGGTGGCACTGGTGTGACAACCCTTGCCCAGTAGACCTATGTCCTCAGGCAATTCAGGGTACAGGCAAAACCCAGACACAAACTGCAGGGTCAACAGATTGTGAACCACCTGTTTCTGTGTCTCCAGTCAGTTCAGGTCCCATACAGGAACCAGATGTGGGCCAGGCTGACAGCAATCACAGACTGCCAGTGCCTGTGACCCCCTCAGGGGGTCAGGATGCAAGTAAAGCACAGCCTTGAACTGCAGGACCAGCAGCTCTTGGAGCACTCGCTCACTCGGCACAGGGCTCATGCAGGGAGGGCCCACAAGTGAACCCCGGTGACAGCAGTCCCCGAGGCTTCTGAGTGGGGACCTCCTGTCTGCCATGGGTGCTCGGAGGGCAGACTCCTATTTTTTTGCTATTGAGTTTTGAGTATTGACTTTGTATCCAGCTATACTACTGAATTTATTTACTAATTCTAGGAATCTTTTGGTGGAGTTTTTGGGGTCTTACATGTAGATTATCATGTCATCTGTGAATAATGATAATCTCACTTCTTCTTTTCTTATGCTTATTCCCTTTCATGAATGTAATTCTTTCCATGATTCTGGTCACAAATTGAATTGGACAAGAACCAAATCAATTTTCCTGAAAAGGTCAACACTGCACCTGTATCAAGTTCAATGTTTAGGTTCAATGTCAATTAGATTCAATACTGACCTTGTAGGGGAAACTCACTTAGTTGTTGTACAATTTAGTTTGTAACCAGAGTCATAGGAAGAACTGAGTTCATGAACTGAGGTACCACTGTACTTGTGATAATTTCAATTCTTTTGTATTTATTTAAGTAAGCTTTGTAAACAAATATGTGTTTATTTTGAAGAAAGACCTTTATGATTCTGAAGATATGTGTATTCTATTATAATAGGACAGCACACTCTGTATATATCTATTAAGTCCATTCATTTACAGGTGTGGTTCAGCTCTGGTATTTCTTTGTTAAATTTGTTTAGTTTATCTCTTTGTAAAAGTGGGATACTGAGGTCATGTACTATTATTGTGTTGGTCTTTATTTGATCTTGTTATGTCCAGCAGTGTTATATGAAGTTATGTGCTCCTAGACCCTGTGCATACGCACTTATAATTGTTATCTCTTTATGCTGAGTTGTTCCCTTAACTAATACGTAGCAACTTTCTTTGCCTCTTCTAAACAGTTTTACCTGAAAGTTTACTTTTTATGACAATAATATTGCTGCTGCTTCTTGCTACTGGGGGTTATGGTACATGAAGTATTGTTTTCCGTGCTCTGGTTTTAAGTCTGTACATTTCTTTTTTGGATTAGAGAGTTCACTGGATATAACAGGCTGTTGGATTCTGTTATTTGATCCAGTATGAAAATCTATGTCTATTAATTGGGAAGCTGAGGTGATTCACATTGAAAGTTATTACTAAAAAGTACTGATTTATTCCTACGATTATATTCTCTCTCTGTTGTTGACTCCTTTTTCCCCCTTTTTGTTGAACTGCTCACCTTGCTCGATGCATTCATTCCATCTGCCTTGCTGGCTTTGTTGTCTCTGTCTAGGATATTCTTGAGTATTCTTTGTCAAGAATGTCCTTACTTCTCCTTTCATTTTGAAATACAGTTTTGCAGGATATATTAGCCTAGGTTGGAAGCTGTTTTCTTTTAGGGCTTGAAACATTTCAAGTTTTTTGGCCTTTAAAGTTTGTGTTGAGAAGTATTCTGTAATCCTAACAGGTTTACCTTTATAAATGATTTTTTGGATGCTTTTTTGTGCCAGCTTTTAAGATTCTGCTTTTTTGTTGAACATCTATGATCTTGACTATGCTGTGCTGTGGAGAGCTTACTTCATAGTCATTACTTGGTATTCTGTAAGCCTTGACTTCAAGTCATTTCTATTCTATAACAGCATAAATCCATCTTTGAGGGTTGATTCCTTCTTGACATAAAACCTCTTATCTGGCCTCACTTTCCAACACTACTGCTCTGTATATAAACTTCTAACACCTGGATTTTAGTAGATACATTCAGATAAGAGCAAACAGATAGGGGGTGGGGATTTAGCTCAGCGGCAAAGCACCTGCCTGGCAAGCGCAAGGTCGTGAGTTCAGTTCCCAGTACCGGAGAAAAACCAAAAAAAAAAAAAGAGCAAACAGATAAAGTATAATTACAAACATGAATGAATCTCTCAAAATAAAGAATACAGAACAAGGTTGCAGAAAAATACATAAATATGACTCAATTTGTATAAAGTAAAAAATATGATTAAGTAAATAATGGGGACAAATAACTATGAAGTAAAATTGTAAATGAAGAGAGAATAATAAATATAAATTCATGGTTGACACTTCTAGGAGGAAAGAAAAACAATACAAGTAGGTAATGGTACAGAAAGCCTTCAGAAGTATTTGTAATACTCTAGTTTTAAACTGGATATTAGAGACACAGGTATTTATTTCATTATTTGCCTTCAGAATTCACATGTACATATATAGTATATATATAATCATTTATGTGAATTAAATATTTCATGATTTTAAATCTTAAAAATAAAGCCTATTTCAGGCATTGTTTCTAATAAATGGCTCAGGAAAATAGATTTTTTAAGGTAATATGAAAAAAATATGAATTCCAACTTACATAAAATCTAATTTAATTTCTTCATTCCAGCATGGATGAGATCCACTTTCTGTATTGGTATGATATACAGTGTGTTGAAAAGAAACTTCTATGAAAGGGTGTACAGTATCCTGAAAAATATGAGCATTAACTAGGTTTTTGCAATATTTTATGTAGTTGATAATGGCAGTTGGCAGCAGAAACTTCAGAATTTTCACAATAGGGAATAGTGACAAAAGGAATTTATTTGCTATAGCATGGGAATGTGAGCATATGATAAACACTATGACTTAAAATTATTTTGGAATTTCAAACTTCTAAAAACACTTCATACCTGGTACTGACAGCAGCTATGACTATTTTAAGGAAATAGGAAATCTTTTGGTAACTAGATGGCTTAATATTTTTACTTTTCTAAACATCCATTATTCATTTATTAATTTAATAAACATCTGTCTGTATCAGGTACTTTCCTAGTATCCCAAGGTAAGTAGTACTGACCCTTAAGGATTTAAAAATCTACCAGGAGAAAATAAACAGGCAAACAAGTGCAATGAAATACAAGAAAAAACCAAGAGAAATATATTCTAGTCAAAGTGTTACACAAGAGAAAGAATAAGAGAGTTTCTCATCAAAGAAGGCATCACAGAGAAATTATTGCTTGAGCCTGGGCTTTGAAATATTGAAAAGAGATTGGTTTGTCCAATAATATGGAACTCTATGCAGGGCATTCATGGAAAGGAAATGACTAGTGTAGGTATTGTACAACAGGTAGAAGTACGACATGGCTATGAGGTGGAGAGAAATAAGGCTAACTGTCAGTCAAGAGCCAGAACAGAATTCATTTTAAGGAGCTTATACATTCTTGTACAACTGTTTATATTTATTGAATATTTATTGAAATGTTAAATACTTACCTCATTTAAGATATCATCTGAGGCTATTGATCTGGTTGTTTCTTTATGTCTGAAGCAAGGCATAGATGATTTCAAATAAGCAGGCATATTCAAGGCTCTTCAGGAAAAACAATATAGAGACCTACACTTTAATTAATTTTAGTATTCATTTTGGTAGGAATGTGTCATTATTTTCTCTATGCTTATGGAAATATATATTTCAATTTTTCTGGATCTTAGAGTTTTTGTCGTATCTTACAACAGTGGTTAGAACTAAATATTTGATAATTAGTACTGTGGAAAAGTAACTCCTAAATGCTGAACTATGGATTGGATCCAGTCTATAATAAAATTTCACTGCTATTCAGCAAAAGAAAATAAAGCAAGTGATACTTTGAGACTCTATCCTTCTTACTTTTTTATGATATTCTTTCTTTTACAAATGATTATAGAAAATGATTTTATATGTCCTTATATCACAAAGCAGTCTTTGAAATATTCATGTGTTATGAGAATATTCAATTCTATTGGTGTATAAGCTCAAGGTGTATAAAACATAGGCAAAGCAAGTATTTTAAATGTAGACTAATGAAAAGAGATTGGTTTAGCCTGTAGACAAAAGGTTTTTTTTATAGGTACAATTTTTTAATTGAAGTGAGCATAAAATATGCAAGAAGAGTATATATACGTTAAAAATGGAGCAAGAAGGATACTTAATATTCCTTAGGCCCTTGGGCACAAAATATTCATAATATATCATGCATATATGACACTAAATATATGATTATAAATATGCAGCACACACTGAATATACACAAGCACTTAATATTCATAATGCTTTAATTTGGCCATCCATTGGTGATGTCTCACAGCTTTCCTAAGACATTTGCTGAAACAAAATTGGTGTCCCACCTACTTTTTCTAGCCTCCTTCTTCCAATATGGATAAGAAACAGTAGCATGCAATAGTATGGTTGGCAGCAGAAACTTCAGAATTTTCACAATAGGGAATAGTGACAAAAGGAATTTATTTGCTATAGCATGGGAAGGTGAACATATGATAAACAGTATAACTTAAAATTATTTTGGAATTTCAAACTGCTAAAAACACTTCATACCTGGCACTGACAGCAGCTATGACTATTTTAACTTTTATTAATTTTAAGTATGTAAAGCATTAATAAAGTGGAAAGTTTTACAAATAAGAACAAGAAATTTATCACATTTACGACGAATTCTTTGCAATTCTAAAAATTAGAGTATATTTCCCTACCTATTGACTGCTGTTTTCCTGGTAGGAATATTATAGGCCCTCAATATTCTTATGAGAATTTTAATATCTCCATCAGAAATAGACTGTGCTGTGACTCTTTTTCTTTCTTTCCTCTGAGGTTTTAACTTTCTTCTTGGCTCAACAAACTTACAGATTGCATGTGTCAACTGGCTACAGAAGAAAAAAATGATCAACTGATAAACACAAAATAGTGTAGTTTGATTAACTATAAATAAGGACATTATTCTGACCCGTATTATTTTAATAATGCTGGAGTCAGAATTGTTTTAAACCCAGGAAGAAATTTCTTTTTTCTGAACACAGAAAAGAAGAAATGCTATATTTTCTCATCTAGAGAGACAATATGTTGCTCTGTACTATTTTGGGTGCATGCTCCAAAATGAGAGAAGGCCACAAAATGTGATGATCTTTCAGAAAATTATTCATTTTTCAGGAATCTTTCTCTTGTAAGTGACTGAATAGTTTGTCTCTATGGTTCTGAAACCAGAGTTGGTTTACACATACTGTCAACCATGGTAACAAAAATCCATAGAATTATATAGTCACACCCATTTTCTCCCAAGGACTGAAAATGAACCCAACAGATTTCAGCATCCTAAACCAGTTAAACTTTATTGGCAACATCAAGCATTTGCATGTGTTCTCTAGGGAGGTTTCCCAGAGACGTGGGAGACCTACTCCTGTTCTTAGTCTTAAGTTTCACCAATGGTATATGAATTGAACTGCTTTAGCAAAGACTCCCCAGTTGCTCACTGTAGATCTCAATGCCATTGCACAACTCAGGATTCTCAGATTTGCATGGAGATTATAGGTTTAGGACTACAAGCAATAGCCTGCCCAGTAGTCTCACAAGATTTATTTAAAAAACCTGCATATGTAAGGCAAAACAATTTGAGACAAAGGTGGTTTTTTTTCTTTTTTTCCTAGAAATTATCAACCAGGAGAAGGTGAAAAACTTTTTAAAATACTATATTAAAAACATACCATGTATATATTATAAAATACAAGTTAAACACAATCCAAAAATGAGCATCTGAGATGAATACACATGTTTCAGATGAAGAAATACAAATGGCAAATAAATACATAAAATAATGTTCAACATCATTAGTTATTTGAGAAATGCAAATTAAAACAACACTGAGATTTCATCTCACCCCAGAGAGAAAGGTTATCATCAAGAAATCAACCAATAACAAATGCTGGAGGGGCTGTGGGGAAAAAGGAACACTTCTCCGCTGTTTTGGGAAGTGTAGACTGGTGAAACCACTGTGGAAATCAGTTTGGAGATTCCTCAGCAAACTAGGATTAGAGGTCCCATTCAACCCAGCTATTTCCCTTTTGGATATTTTTCCAGAAGAACTGAAAATATCATGTCACAGTGATATTCGTGCATCCATGTTTACAGCAGCACAATTTGTAATAGCTAAATCATGGAAGCAACCAAAATGCCCATCAACTGAAGAATGGATTAAAAAGTTGTGGCATTTTTATATAATGGAATATTACTCAGCTCTAAAGAAAGATAAACTCAGGGCTTTTATAGGTAAATCATCACAACTAGAGACCATGCTCATAAGTGAAATAAATCAAATCTGCATATGTAAACACCGCATTGTCTCACTAGTGTAAGAATCTGAAAAGGGTGAATGAAATCTAAAAGGTACAAAAGGTATTATGAAAGGGAAAAAATTGCTAAAAGCAGCAAACAACTTGGATGAGGGAGAAGAGAAAAGAAGAAAGAGGGGAAAAATATGTATAAGGTATACACAAGATAGCTAAGATAGTTGTACTACTGATTTCTATTACTTTATTGAAAGGAACAGTTAATGTTTGTTTGATCAATCTTATATGCCTGTATTTGTTTATCTGAGCAATCAATTTGAGCAAATCATGTGTAATACAACCATCACTGTAATTTCCTATCACCTTGTCTGAAAATATGTATTGCTTGCATTGCTTTTGCACTATTTTGTTAATGTCTGTGTGTCTGTTAATATGTTTTATCTTTATAATAAATAAATAAATAAATAAATAAAATACAAATTTTAAGTAATCAAATATATTTTAGGTATATCTTCTTTTATAATCTGAAACTGCATCTTTTGGCAGGTTATTTAATATAAAAACAAAGAACTCAGAGGACTTAACAGAGGTTTAAAATTTTATATTTCTCACTTAATTTAGTACCTTGAAGATACAATTTCTTCATAATTAGCCACAATATCTGGCAAGTTAAATTTGCTAACTTTGGTGATTCTTTTCATTATTGATCTTCTCTCCTAAAAAAAATCCAGAATTAAAAAAAACATTATATTTTAAGCTTAAGTACTTACTGTGCTTCTGGCATTATTATATTTTACTGCTAGTTTTTGCAGGCAATGAATGGAAAGGGGGCTTAAATGAGTGAAATATGATTCTGTTTCTACCATACAATCGATCACAACTCACACTATCACACCAAAGCAAGCTCATTTTTTTCAGTTTTTTCTCTCTATGTCCATTTTGTCTGATCCTAATTTCTTAGCTTATATATTTTCTGTCTAACTTACAGTGTACATGTCCACAAATACTCTTTGTCAAAAGGGATGAACGCCTTGTGAACTAATTTCTGCACAAACCATTAGTAATGGACATAAATCTTGACCTACAAACTCAAAGAAATCATTTGAGTTTGATTACCACATTTCCATATTTCCACAGAGTCAGTCCTGTGCTGATTTTAAACACTTATTCTATCACTTTGCCCAGAAAGTTAGTGCTTAAACAAAGCCATTTCTCTAAGCCCTTGCAACAGATCTTGATTCTTCTAAGGTCTGTGAAAATATCCTTTTTAATCTGAGAAAATTCCTCTTTGTCTCCTGTAGCTCTATTCTTCATAATGGGTTTAGTCTTTCAGACCTAAAACCAGAAAGGAAGTATCAGGTAGCTATTCTTTGCTTTCTGACATGATGCAAATCATTCTGGAGATAATATAACCTAGACACTAACAACCTGCTTGAATGGGACAGAAAAATGGGGTTGTGAGAATGGGAAAAACGTAACTAAGTCCTGAAAATTATCCTTCCACACGGACAACAAATTGGTCCCCCAGAAGGTGAACCAGACTTCTCTGACCCCAAGACTCTTCACTCTCTTTTCTGTCTCCTTCAGCATCCTTCAGACTGGGATCCTTACTGTTTCTCCCTCAGGCCAGGAGTACTTCCCTCAGAGTTTTTACATGTGGTTTCATTATCCTATAGTGTTGTTTCTCCCCCTAAAACTCCATGACTAGTTCCCTCACCTCTTTTAAGTCTAAACAAGTAGCAGTTCATCTTTGAAGTGTTACCTTTTCATGAACTCTCTTGAACAACTTATATTACATTTCACACACCCCAGAACTCCTTACTTCCTGATTTATTTTTATAGCAAGTTTTACCATCTGACACACTAGTTAATGGTTGCTCATTATCTGACTTCTCCCACTAGAATATAAACTCAGAATGTCATAGTATTAAACTATCCTAGGATAGCAAGTAAGTCTTTATAGCTACAAAATTTTCTTAAAGTCCCTTCCCTGGATTTCTACATAAATTGTAAGCACTTTCAACATCACTTCTGCTCTTGCCCTCTTACTGATTCCCTACTGTCCTCCCTCCTGGTCTTCCCCATACATAAAAAAGAGAAAGTATAAAGAGGATATGAATTCTCTTTTCTTATGAGCAACAATATGTCTTTATTTTTCAAGATAACAAACTCAATATTAAAGTACATCCCAACTTTTCTTTTATGTCTATAACTGGTGAAGAGGTAAGAAGACCACGGATAGAGAAAAGCACCTGCCAGTGATAAAGGAGGGTTTAAAGTGAATTTTGGGAAGTATGTAGCATTTGTGTTTAACCAGAAGTTAGAATGTACTTAATAATGAGTTCACTGGCAATGAATGATGTAACCTAAATCTGAAAAGAAAGTCTTAAGAGAATAGAAAACTTGGTATTCAGAGAGAGGCGATGAATAAGTGGATTTGTCCCCCTGACTATCTGGGAAGGGAATAGTGCCATGTGTCTAATAGAAATGCTATCAACTAAAGTAATGGCAGACAACTTGATGATGCAGTGTTGCTGTTTCTGTTACCTTTCTCAGATAATTGATGGCGCTAATCCTCTGTGCAGTAATAGAATTTACATCCAAGGTAGACATATCCATTTCTACCTGACTTTCATGCTCCTAAACAGAGAATTTTGTTAGTTTCACTTCAATGTAACAAATGGTTCAAATATGATGTAGTGATATAAAAATATCATTATTCATTTCAGTTCACATGTAGGATGACAATGGCAATACTCTGAAATTGGCAGAGGAAAATATTCTGTCTGACTTTCCAAGAACTGGACAAAAAATTTATGACTATAGCCTATTTGCTTCTGGAATGAAGTCTATTCATTTTTAAAATAGAATAATGGTTGAGACAAAATTTGTGACTGAAAAATGAGATGAGAAAAGTCATTTTGCAAGAACACATCCAATCTCATTTGATTTCTGAAGCTAAGCAGGTTCAGGCCTACTTAGTATGTGGATGGGAGAAAAGTCACTTTGCATTTCTCTTTTCACTTCTGAGCCAAACCTAAAGAATGTTATAATCTCACTTGACTCAGATCATGAGCATACTTCCACTGCAATTTGAGTCTTCAGATAATGCGCCCTGTATAAATTTGTGCGTCCTTTCAGTGGCTGAGTGGACATCAGAATCTTGTATCTTTATCTAAATTGGCTGGTGTCACTCTCTAGTGAAAATTCTGCTGCACAGACATTGGCTTCAGAGATGGCACAATAATTGCTTTCTTCTTGAACTAACTCTTAGCAAGTTCAAGTACTATAATTACTTCAATTAGTTATTTCTACAGGAATCATTTCTTATAATTCCTCTATTGTAAAACTGGCGGTATGCTGGTGTTTAACAGTGGGTTCTTTGAAGTGGGAGGAAAAGCTCCAGTTGATAGCATTTGGTGATTTATGGCATGAATACTCCCCTAGCAGCAAATGAAATCACTACAGGTAGAGTTGGGGTGTGATATGTGCAACAGACTCTCACCAGGTGATGTCAGGCAGCTATAGCACACCACCAGGTAAGACATACTTTTCCTCCCTTTTTACATATTTTAAAAATTCTGAAATTGAGATGTGCCCTATAATCATTGTGTAAATTAATTGCAATAGTTTCTTCCTCTAGCCCCAATAGCTGCTATTAAATTAATGAAATAACAAAAATATATAATAACAAAAATACAACAGTGAAATAAATCAAAACATACTTCAAGGATTTTGGTTGTTAAATAGATTGTTTGGACAGTACTAAATTATGAAGCCAAGCTAAGGACTTTGGTGAAATATGGGAGATCTGTTCCTTCCTAATGCCTAAAACAGACATAATGAGGTTAGGGTGACCTGTCTCTAGATATTAGTTAAAAACGATAAAAAAAACTAAGATAGAGTTAAAGCATCAAAATATAAACTTTATCATATAAGAAACTATATTCAAATAGAAATCAATACCTGAAAGACTAAATCCGGAATCTCTCTATCATAGAGGGGCACTTGCTGCAGGAGAAAAATATCTAATTGACCAGTATTTCTAAGTTGCAGAAGCTGAAAACGTTTACTCTTTTTGATTTCTTCTTCAGAAACGAAGTTAAACTCATCTTGTAGTTGTTCAAGACGGAAATACTGTGGAATATCCTGCCCTTTATGTCTCATATACTGTAAACACAAAAATGTAAAGTCTTGATATATTAATTTTTAAAAACAAGAATTATTTCAAAACATCTCCCACTGTGAGATATAAGATTCACAATACAAGTAGGAATGGAGCAATTGAACTGTAGAGGGGTAGGACCTGCAGAAATACAGAATCCTACTTACAAGGCTTTCCAACCTTTTCTCAGTCATGACTTACACAGGAAATGAAAACTGTATTCTACAAAGAGTTAAAAGATGAGACTGTTCTTATCTGGTTGCCTGAAGAGCTGAAGAAGAATTGATATTTCTGTATACCTGTAACCAATTTGTGCATTGGCTGGGAAGCTCTGGTCAAGGAAAGCTTAATTTTAGCAATCTAATTTATAAATTGCCTTTATTTAACAAATGCAAGTAAGTGAATGGTAAATGCAAGGATTATTACTAGCTGGTATCAGAGAGACAAATATTTATTAGCTGTAGTTTTATAAGGAAAGATAAGGCACATGAATGAATAATTACATTAATAGGCAAAAAGAGAATAGCAGCATAAGAGATTATGTGAAAGAAAGAACAAAAGAAAGAAAGAAAGAATGAAGGAAGGAAGGGAGGAAGGAAGGAAGAAAAAGAAAGAAAGAAGGGGAAATTATGTAAGTATGTATATACAGGATAGCTAACATAGTTGAGCTACTGTCTTGTATTGCTTTACTGAAAGAAACAGTTAATGATTACTTGACTGATCAGTACTGCATATCTCTATTAGTTTTCCTGAGAAACCACCTTGAAGATATCAATATGTAATACAACAAGCATTGTTAATTTCCTACCACTTTGTTTGTAACTCTGTATTGTCTGTATTGTTCTTTTGCTATTTTGTAAATGTCTGTTTGTTTATGTGTTTTCCTTCTATTTTTCAAAATAAAAAAAATAAAAGGAAGAAGAAAAGAAAGAAAGAAAGAAAGAAAGAAAGAAAGAAAGAAAGAAAGAAAGAAAGAAAGAAAAAGGAAAGAAGGAAAGAAAGAGAAAGCTGACAGAAGGGTGAGGAAAGAAGAGTGTATGTCTAACTGCAAACATTTATGAGATTTGCACAGTGGATTAGAGCGCCACAGTGGGTGTCCTTCTAGGTAGAGCAATCGTATGAAGACAGTTAGTGTGGGATACATAGAACAGTTCATTTAGCTATAAGGAAGAATACAAGGTGAGCAGGTAATGGAGCCTGAGGAAAAGAGTGCATCTGTAAGACACCTGATAAATCATACTAATATCTGTAGTATCTATTGGCACATGACAAACGTGCAATAATAGATGGTACCTGGAAGAGTAGCCCTAAAGTAGGAATTATTTTGGTTGCCGAATATCTCATTGCCTTTTTAATACTGGAAGCTAAAAACTGCATCTGTCCTCCACTTTATCTTTACATGTCCTTTACTGCCTAAAAAGCACACAGCAAACTACGGGGGAGTAGAGAGAGATAGAGCTTAGGAAATAAAATATATCTACAGTACTGATATTTTCTATGACTTACCATAATAAGTTCCATTAATTCAGAATATTCTGGATTATTTGGATCAATCCTGACTTCATCTGCCCATTGAAAAAGCTTCTGTGCATTAATAAACCATGGAATTCCAGGAATACTTCTGACCTCTACATTCCTTAACAAACTTACATAGAGAAAATATTTTGTGATTTGGGTGCAATATGTCAGTTAGTCATCTTTGTATGGACTAAAGCTTGTCCAGTTGAGGTATTTACAGATAAAACCCATTCAGTCTTCATAATGCAATGCATGTATGTGCCAATTCCCCATGATGAATGTATTTATTATGCATTGCAACATATACTAATAAAAGTGGAAAAAACAAAGAAAACACAACAAAAAGATGTATCTTCTAGTTCTTCTCATATTCTAACTCTGTCATAGCTTTTTGATAAATATCTACTCTCCCTTAAGGGACAAAAAGATTTGTAAGGATATAGTCTATAAATATTTATCTTTGCTCTATCCACTTTGTGGATAGCTAAATTATAGTCAGTGCTTAATTATATGGTGATTATTGAATGTATTCTGTAAACCCAAAGCATAGTAACTTAGTATGTATTTTCTTCTTATAGGATATACAATATTATGTTTTAATCCAAATATTTTCTTAAATGAAATTAAGTAAATAATAAGCAATACATAAACTTTAGATTGTATCTTTACAGTTGAAATATAGTAGAGAGTAATGCAGTTAAGTGGGCAGTGTGGGCCAGGTAAGTTCTTCAGTTATATGAGACCATATTCAAACATTAATGCTATAAAAAATAGGCTAAGATTAGTAATATATCCTCAGCGATCTAACTATAGGTTAAGAGTAGAAGGAATTTAACCCTAAAGAGCAAGGATTTCTAGAGAGCCACCAACTATCTTATTTACTATCTTCACAGAAAATCTCTTCTGTCATGTGCAGTTAGAAGAATTTAGACTAGATTTCTAAGATCCTTCCATAAAGTACTTGAGAAAAATTTCTGTCTATAAATAAGGATTCCAGAAATACCTTTTTGACACAGTCAATAATGTTTTGCCCAAACATGGAGACACATTTTATACTGTCTCCTTTTCATTATCTCCTGTTCATATATCTATGATGAGTTTTCTCAAGCTATTGCTGACAAAACCAGTATCTAGAATGGTGGGATGGAAGCAAAATTACAAATAGATGAACTTTGAATAGTATTTCTTTTACTTCCTAGTGTGCCCTCATGGTTGAATTGCTTTGATGTCCTTGTTATAAGAGATTTCCAGGACCCCATATCCTTGACACCTCATGGAACATATTTTCCATTTCCTAAAAACAGTTTTAGCCCAGATTCCCTAGAAAAGACAGCCATAAAGACAAGGCTTAAATGCTAATGAATTGATTTTGGAAAGAAGTTATCCTTTTTTTTTTAAAGAAAGTTATAATTGAGTTTCAATAAAGTCCCACGATTTCTGCTTCCAGTAAAGTAATGAAAACCTCAAAGCCTTGTTTGACTGACTCCCTCAGTTGCCGTTATAGGTGTTCAGTTGATGACTGTGACAAAATCCACAGTAATCTGCACACCCTCTCCACAACCAAACACTAAGTAAAGCAGTCTCTTGGCTCAAGATCAAAGTATTGAAATTTTTTACTTTGTGGATGACCTGGAGATAGCATTAAAGGGCCTGTGAAATTCCAGATATGAAATAAAATTCCTAAGATTTTTCTTCCTAAAAAAGATAATGCATAAATCATTCTTTGGTAATCCAGAATGATGGGGAAACTGAAAAACACTAGGAATAAAATCTTTGGGAGTCATAGCTTTTGCTTGTAAGTTAAGGATTATGAAAATGCCTCTGTTATTATCCATGTGGCTATAATCCTAAACACCGAAGAAACATACAGTATTCTCTTACATATAAATACATTCATTGATTTAGGTAAAAAGCATGTCAATATCCAAATAAACTAAATTGTTCCTACTACTGCCTGGGTTCTCCCTTCTACACATGTGTGTTTTGTGTAATGCCTGGCTGAGACTGCATTATTTTTCAAACATAAAACTTTATTACCCGTAGTTCGTAGCTCTTAATGACTGTGACATAGGTGCCAGAGGAATACCATTTTCATCTAAGGCCCATGACAGAGAATAGCTAAGTTTTCCTGATGTTAAAAGACAAAGTTCTTCAGTTCTACTTCCCTCGAGAAGAAAAGGCACATCTGTTCATAAAAGGAATTAAAAACATATGATTTGTTTACAAAGTGTGCGGTTGAAGCACATGGTAGGTTGTCCCCCTTACTTCCGTTTATGGAACCCCAGGAACACAAAGTAAGTTCTGTGCTGACCCCAGCTTTTATCCAAGCACTCGCCCTCATTTCTCCTCTAAGATACCTAAAGGAAGATGTCTTCACACAAACTACAAAAGAGAGAGGGAAAAATATTGAGCAGACTACACAGAGATAAATATCTCTATTTTCCTTTTCTAAATCCTGGATGTTTCTTAACCATTCTTTCTGGGAATGGCTTGTGGAAGAAAAAAAGACCACTGGCAGCAGAAGAGATTCTTTTTCACTTTTCCCTGCATTCTTACATCTTCTGCCCATCTCATTTTTATTCGCAACCTCTAGAGAGTTGAACAATACTGCTGAAAACTTGCGGAGTTCCCAGGTTCCTTAAAGTTTTTGAGTGCAAAGGTTTTTCCCCTGGGTCTCCACGTGTTGTTCTGCTTTGTATGGGTCCTAAGCAAATGGCATTTTTCTCTCATTCTCTGCCCTTTTGGTCTCTTTTGTCTACTTTTCTTTTTCTCCTTTCTTTGTTCACTTGTTCATGCTTTCTTCCTTTGCACCAGATGGATACAAGTTTGCAAAACCTCTACAAACCTAGAACAAAGGAATCTTGGGGAAAGGAAAGGAAAGACAATAGTCTCAGAGTTGTCCTAATTTAACTGCATAAGAGTAAAAGCATTGGAAACACAAATGAATAGAAACATTCCTTCTTTTCTCTGACCCTTTCAGTGCCCTCTTTCTTTCCTTCCCTCCTTCCTTTTCTTTCTCCCTTCCCGACACAGTTTGAAGACTATTTCACATGTCCTGGGATCCCCTTAGGTTTACTGAAGGATATAGGCAGAGGCAGAGCAACTATTCCCACAGCAGCAGAGCTTGAGTTTGGGAAAAGCATATATTTGTCTTATGGCCTAGCAGAAGCATAGCTTTTCATGGTCTAAAGAAACCTGAAGTGCTAACTGCAAATTTAAAATTTCCCAAAGAGCGGATTCAAGACAAAGTTTTAAACTATCTAGTTTAACATGAGAACAGAGAATTTAATTCATTTTAAGCCAAATATAAATACTGGATTCATTCTTCGTGTAGATGACTCGGGGTCTTGTGAAGAAAATTGGGAAGGAGCATTTTAAATAAACTCACTGCTTCCTACTTCTCCATCCGCAGGTATGACCAGCTTATCAGAGCTAAATTCTACATATTCCAAAACAGTTTTGCCTTTCAGCTCTGTGTTGTTAGGTAAAGGTAAATATAATTTTGCCAGTAAACTTGTCCTTTTACTTATTTCATAAACCTAAATAGAAAAGAAATAAAAATATACAATATACTGAAAATTACACAATAGAAAAATAAAAACATAAGGACCCTCAATAATATACTTGTGTTCATTTTTTAAAAGTACTAGAATAAAAATATAACATTTCATTCACATATTTAATGAAAAATATATAATAATATGACCTTAGATATATAATCCCTTTTCCTGGTTTTATAGAAAGTGAAATGCATAAGAAGCTTACAAATAGGTTTTTAGACTAAAAGTACATATAGCACAATATCCATATAACTTACTATTTTGTAGCACTTTGAAAGTTCTTCATCTCATTTAAAACTAATAAAAATTATAGGAAATAGATCTTATTCTTCCCATGTCATAAATGAAATGGTGGCTCTATATCAAACTATATGTTTTTAAGGGATTAAACTCTGGTAGAATTGCTTAGGAAACAGGGCAAGTCATTGGTTCATGGAATTCAAGGATTACTTTAATAAACTATGGGAACTAGGAGGAAAGAAAGTTCTAGAAGAAGAAAAAAGGAGGTGCTGAATAGCTCCACAGAGCTTCAGATCCTCAAGTCTTCTGATTCTCTGTGCTGTCCTTTCTCTGGAGTTTCATGTAAATTTACTGCTCTAACTATAAATTTATTTGCAGTAGGAAAACCTTATTTTGACCTATATTGTGCTGTTAAAACTTGGAGAAATGTTGCTCTGTTCTCTAAAGAGAAAGAAATTAATAAATCTTTTTTCTCCTCTCAACTTTACTTCTAGGTCTAGCTTTAGGCTTAGCCCATTAGCAGTCAGGACTTTTTGTCAAACCTCCTTAACTATTCCTAATTTTCTCCATCATCCTCTTTTCTTTCCATTTAATATAGAAAGTTTTGGACAGAGATCGGGGTCTATGCTATGTTCTTTTGTCTGATTCTTAAAGGGATCCAAATTACCAAAAACATGATAGAGAAATACAGGAACAGACTGAACCCATCAAGTCAGGGCTAGGAAAATGTGTAGAAAACATCCAATGGTCACAATAGGTATGTAACTTATTTTACTTTAAACAACTCCCTCCAGCTCATTTGTGAATGCAAAATAATGCTGCATAGCCAAGATTGATGGGAATTTTAGCAGGAGAGAACTATTTGGAGCAAACACAAATCAAATGATGTAATTATGACATAAGTGAGATAGATTATACATTTGTTAATTGTAAATACATTGCTAGGTGTAGAAATCTATAATTTCAATATAAAAGAAATAACGTCATATAGAATAATAGCTAACAAGAAAAAGGATGTATGGCATAAAACAGGAAAGCAAGTAACATTAGCATACCTCCAAGCAAATTGTTTCTGGCGAATATATTAACTGAATATTGAAAATTTGCTGAAACATGACTTTAAAATCAAACTGTAGGGAAGATACTGAAGTGCAAGAAACCTGTTTGTTGTTGTAAAATATCTTAATAAAATATTTCAGCTTCTGAATTTTGGCTCTCCTGTTTTGCTCATGCCTATAAATTAAATAAATAAACCATGAAAAACAAAATGAGTGTACAATATTCTTCTTTTCAAAACATATCATGTTGGGTCTGGGGATTTAGCTCAGTGGCACAGCGCCTGCCTGGCAAGCACAAGGTTGTGAGTTCAAGCCCGGTTCTGGGAAAAATAAAAACAAGAAAACATATTATGTTATAAAGAAGATGACCATTTAGAGAAAAAAGGTGTCTTGCAGTTGCCTATTTATGGGTAAATGTTTGTCTTTCCCACTTGAGTTTTTTTAAAAAAGATATATACTCAGAAATAGAAAGAGAACTAAAATCAAGGTACTAGAAATCATTCAGTCATTTATTTTACTACAGCATTTTCCCACCAGATGTTTCATAGGAGGAGAAAATTAGCAGACTTGGGCATAGATGGGGGGGTTATATCAAGAATTCAAAAAATATTTCCTAACTTTTATAAGACATCATGCAAGCTTTACACACATTTTAAAGATGTGCAATAGGTAATAGGGTTTCTATTATCTTTCTTTTTTTTTTTTTTTTTTGTCTTTTTGAGACAGGATTTCACTACGCAGTTCAGGCTGGCCTTGAACTCACTTTGTAGCCCAGGCCAGCCTCGAACTCACAGTGATCCTCCTGTCTCATCCTCTTGAGTGCTGGGATTACAGGGGTGCAACACCATGCCAGACCTTTTTTATTTTACTTTACTTTATTTTATTTTATCTTATTTTCTTATCTTATCTTGTTGTATACTTCCTTTCTTTCTCAGTACTGGAGACTGAACTCAAGATTTTCCACTGAATACTGAGCTAGTTTTTACTATTCTTGTTTTTAAATAAGTCTTGCTGAGTTGCCAAGCTGAGCTCCAACTTGCCATCTTCTTGTCTTAGCCTCTCACAGTGCAGGACTCTTGACCTCTTAAAGATCTTTGTAAATCACTTTAGGTTTTAGGCTTTAACTTTCTATGGGACAGTTGGGAAAGTGTTCTTTCTTTGAACCCAAATGTCAGAGAAGGCTGACTTTGAGGCTTCTATGGAAACATTTGTTAGAAATAAAATGATCTTGTGAATGATATGGAACTCTTAGAGTCATTCATTCATCCACCCATCCAATTAACATTTATTATTTTTCCCGGCAACTTATCTAAAGAGATCTTATCCCCAGCAAACTGGTTGGAAGGTAAGCCCTAGGTTGATACATGAAATCTCCTTTTACTCCCCACCCTAATCATGCTACGGATCCAGAATCTCCCTGCCCCTTTATCTCCCTGTCTTACCTGTAACCTCAGAAGTCTGGGAAATATATGCTATCTCTTCCTGTCTCCCTGTTGGCCTCTTCTGACCATCTTCCCAATTACCTTCAGATAAATATCTTAGCACATATTGCCCTTGATGCTGCTCTCTAAATGTAGTTTTAACACGGAGCTCATAAATTGAAATGAAATTTTGTTAATTCAGGATTATATTTTAAGGAAATCTTGCCTTTTTGTTCAACTTGTAAATCATTTTAAATTCTTCTTTAATCTCTGTATTCTTTTCATATTTATCCTTGATATCAACATATTACTGTTTTCTACAGAATCCATTGTTATTGAACTGGATGTTTGGACTGCAGCACTACTGATACTATGGCTTTGAAAAGATATAAAGCGTTATATATCCTTTTGCTTTGACTTCCACTGTTTTAGTCTAGGTTGTCCAGCATCAAGGTCCTCTTCTTTCTCCTTTTTTTCTTTCTTACGACTTAAATTTTATGGCTCCTGTTTTCTTACCCACATTTAGATGATCCTTTTCTATGTGTGTTTTACATAATAAATGATTCCAGGAACTTACTGGAAAGAGGTACAGAACAAATAAAAAATCGCTTCACTGCTGGACTTTGCTGGTCAGAAAGAAGGTGGTGAAATTAAACATTTATGTTTGCTATTCTTTATGTTCAGTTTAAAATGTAACCGCCCTGTTGTGATATATAAGCAAATGATCCCTGAGAGTCTTACGCACCTTTAGGGAGGGCTTTTTGGAAGATGATTATATTATGGAGGTATTATAGCTAACTTGCTGCCAGGAAGTGAGACCTGGTTGGAAGAGGTGAGTCACTGGGGGCAAGACCTGACAGGGTCTATCTCACCCATGGGCTCCTCCCTTCCTGGCGCTCATGGCTGAGCAGCATTCCTCTGTACAGGACCTTCTCTCACGTCACGTCAGCTCTGGATAAGCTGACTGTGGGCTGCAACTCAACAAACATGAACCAAAAATACGGGTGTTGGGTATTTTGTCCCAGCAACAAGGAAAGGGAGGAAAACATGCGTACTCATTCATTTAAATAATCTGCATGTTTCTTGGGTACCCACTATGTTCCAACTCTGTGATAACTGATGTACAAACACAATAGTCAAAGATGGATTAGAAAAATGTCTTCTGCGGGATAGAGATGTTTCAAAACTGGACCTAGTTCAGTGATCTAAGCTGCCATATCCTCTTTAAGGTCGATGGGATCCACAGTCCTAGTAGATGAGAGAAATGAGAGTACGCATGACGTATGTTTCACATTAGTCTCAAGTGTATAGTTCAAGCAAGAAGGTATAACTGGGAAAGAATGTTTGTACTGTCAAAGAAGGAAACTGTCTAGAGGGCCCTCTTGCTGTGGAATAATTTTTCGTTTGGTTTACATTACAAATAACCTTTATTGGTTACCATGGTACATGGAAGAGAGACTATGACAGCGATAGCTCTGGGCAGAGTTTGTAAACTTATTCATAGCCCTCCATGAAAAGTTACATGGAGTAGTTTTTATGAAGCCAAAAGTTCTTTAACAAGGAAAGGTGACGGTACAATCTCCTCCCCTTCCTCTCCCATTCTCTCCCCTCTCTTCCTCCTTCGTTTTACTGTAACTTTATATCTTTCCCAACTATACCTGAATAAAAATTTACCGCCATCACAGAATTTTAAAAAGTGATCAATATATTAAGCTTATTCCATAAAACATGGCAAGGCAAACTGGTTTATGTCCCAGCTCAGGCACATATTAAATGTGTGATCTTGGACTACTTAACTTTCCATAAGACCCAATTCCCTCACTTCTAAGATAAGGATAATGTAAGACTCCATAGAGCCATAGTGACAATTAAATGTGAAAATATAAATTAAAGAACACTTGGGCTGGGGATTTAGCTCAGCGGCAAAGTGCCCGCCTGGCAAGCGCAAGGTCGTGAGTTCGGTCCCCGGTACCGGAGAAAAACCAAAATAAATAAATAAATAAATAAATAAATAAATAAATTAAAGAACACTTAACAATGTATCTGGTATATGGTACCCATTCAAGAAATCTAACATTATTATTATTATTAAGAACAATATAATTAATAGGCAATATATAATAAAAACAATTCTTTAAAAATGCTTACAGTGGACAGTTGGATAAGTTTGTTAATTCTGCTGTGAAATAAAGCTGTGGCCTCAAGGTAATTGGATTTGTTCTTTCAATTTCTGTTTCTTCAAGTTCAGAAGCTAAAAGTGAGAAGCTCTAGAAACAAAACAAATTAAATAAATAAATAAATAAATAAATAATTTACCATGTACATTTACCATCCAGGACAACTATTTTTAAAAGTACATTTCTATTTCTTATATTTGTCATTTTGTTAGGTAACCATTACAAATACCAAAATTTCCTATTCTACTAAATAGTGAAATACTATAACTAGTTAAGAGGAATTGAATGTTACTTTGTGATATAAATACCTCCTGTTTTTCTTCATGCTTAAGTATTTTTCCTTCAGTTTTCTTTTTGGTCTCAGACACTTCTGACATTTGTGCTTGTTCTTGCTCATCAGATTTATTCATTTCCATCCTAGTTAATAATAAATAAAGTTATTTAAAGCAGAAATAATGGAAGTATTTAAGGCTTGTAGGAGGTCTTGCCAAAACAGACACACACACAAACACACACCTACACATATTCACAGATGACCAATAATTTACAATTTATTTTATATCCTAAGGAAGTGACCAATATGCTAACTCTTGACAAAGAGAGTTTCCTGCCAAAATGAGATGGGAATATACCTGCAACTTCCTGCTAGCCCATTTTCTGCCAGTGTCACTTTGTAAAACTTGCTTTAGCTAAGATTACTGTGAACTGCCATATCAGGAAATCCAATGGACATTTATAGTCCTGAACTATGGCTGGGGGAACTTAGCTTGCGTGGCAACACAAAGGGCTTTTTGGGCCTGCTGTGGCACATGTGCCATATGTGTGCCACCACTGCTTTAACCAGGACTTCCTCTCATTTATCCTCCTTTTCCAAATCATTCAATGCAGCTTCTCAAGTCTCAGTCCTTGAGTTTCTTCTTGTCATTTTTACCTTGTCCCTAAGTAGTTTCTGTACAGCTATGGCTTCCGTTACAATTACTAAATTACAGAGTTTCATATTTTTATCTTTAGCAAGATCATACATTCAGCTGCCCACTCAGTTGCTTTATTTGGGAAAAACTTAAAGTCATCTCAAATTCAATATGCCTCAAAACAAAAAGATGAAGGACAGATAACCTGAGCTCAGTGTGTAGGTATCAGGCCTTCTTGTCACAAATGCAGCCTTTCTACAAGTTTATTCAGTTAGGGTCCAAAAGGATGAGGCTTGTTGTTAGATCAAGAGTGATAAACCCGGCCAGGAAACAGTTCCTAGGAGCATCTTTAAACAGACAACTTTTCTAATTGATCAAAAGGATACCTAAACGGCTGAAACAAACTGCTCCAACTTAGGGTCACTGAAGGCTAATTTTTCTGGTGCAATCTCATCACTGACACTGTGGGACTTAGTTCAGAGCTATCCAGGAAGAAGCAGTCTGGAGAGATAAATCTAAGCCAAAATCCAATGGGAAAATGGAATAATTAAATGTCAGGAAGAACAAATATGAAGAACAAATATGAGACTGGAGTTCAAAGTAATGGGAATGGGGGGCTGGGGATTTAGCTCAGCGGCAAAGCGCCTGCCTGGCAAGCGCAAGGTCGTGAGTTCGGTTCCCGGTACCGGAGAAAAACCAAAAAAAAAAAAAAAACAAAGTAATGGGAATGAGATTTAGTAGCGAGTAGACAATATAGATCCAGAACCACCATTCTGGGTAACCCTTATGAAGCTATGGCTCTTCTTTGTTGTTCAGGAGTTCATGACACATGGGTACGACAAATTGGTTTAAAAGATTAGAAGCAAGTCATTATGTTTACATTAATTTAGAAGTACACAAGCCATGCTGAGTTTAGGTTTGCAAACTGTCAGAAGCAATCCTTAAACCAGGTCTACCTATAATCTCAGCACTCTAGGATGCTGAGGCAGGAAGACTGTAAGCTTGAGCCCAGTCTGTGCAATTTAGTGAGACCTTTTCTCTCATTTAAAAGGGGCGGGGGTGAGGGATGAGGATATAGCTCAGTTTGAAGGCCCTGGGTTCCATCGACAGTACTACAAAAAAAAAAAAATCTCCTACAGCCAAAAAAAATCAACAAAAGACACATTTTCCTTGTTGTCTGAAATTACACTACAAGGTTGCAGTTTTGAAAAAGAAAAGACCCAGGATAATGAGTTCACAAGCAGCTTAGGTGATTTAACAAATTTGGTTTTGCATTAGAATTATCTATTCCAGTACATATATTTTACAACTTCATCCAATTCCTAAAATATGCTTCACCATAGAGCACGGTAATGGGACAGGTTCATGTTTATTAAAAATGCCAAAGTGTTTCCAAGGTGCATTCGCACGGACTAGAAACGCAGTTGTCTTTGGCTCAGGAGCTTTGACAACATCTGTGGTACCCTTCAGGCATTCAAACAGGTGTGCAGCAGTATTTCACTCTGGTTTGAATTTGCATTTCTCTATTGATATGACATGATGTCACGAGTAAGAATTCCTCATGTGTTCATTTGCCATCTATGTACTTTCTTTAGGAAAGTGTTTGTTCAAAGCCTGTGTCCATTTTTAAATTGGGTTGTTTTCTTAAATTGTAAGAATTGTACAAGGTATAAGTCCTTTGTTGATCACATGGAATGGTTGTATAGACTGTAGATCTTTTCCCCATTCACTGTGATTTTTCATTACTCATGAGCAGTTCCTTAGGAGACAAGAGCAAAGAAAGCAGCTTCTTACCTCTGAAACAGCAACTTTACTGTAGTGCTTGTAAAACCTTGCCGTTGTCTAAGGGACTTTATCTGCTTCCAGGTCTGTAATACACTATGTAGCAGGGATAGGTCCTTTTCCAGTTCTAAGTTATATAGTTGTTTTGTATTGCTGCAACAATAATGGCAAATCAAAAATATGTCTGTTGGTTAGAGCTCTCAGTTATTAAAAATGGTTTGGAAGAAGATTTTAGAATAATTTCTCTCAACCTTCATTTTATTTTCCATTGTACCTGAAATAGCTGTCTTATTTAAAATATTTTCAGAATTTATCATTAAAAAAATCATTCTTTAATTTTTTTTCACTATTTAAAAATTCCTTGTTAAAAAGCAATTTCTCCCAAAAACAGAAATACCTTAACTAGAATTCCACAAGATCCTAAGTACCAAAGAGAGAAGGATATGGAAGAAAATAACAATAAATGAAAAGAGGTAGGAAGCCCATACATTTTGATAATTGTTCTTGCAATCTACTCAGCATTTTAGTTAATTTCTGACTAATACTTCACTACGTATGAAACAGAAACTGCAAACCAGGTAGTACATGCCCTTGTGCTGCTTTTGCTTGCTTTGGTACTGTTTGAGGCACCCACGACTTTTATTTTGCAACCAAATAAGTTCTATGTGGGTGGCTCTAAAGCCATTACAGTGGGACCGGTTCCAATTTAGGATGTCAGAATTTCAAGAGAACTTGAAAGGAGCTAGAGGGGGGGGCTTGCAACAATGAGGGAAGGTAAAACAACAAAGGCTTCCATCTCTTTGCACCTCTGCAATCAGAAGTAGTAATCAATGATCATAGCATAGACCCCCAGTATTTGGACAGTAAGGTCCTTTTCTATCTTCCCAGAACTATATCTTATTTGGAGATATTTTCAACCTTGTCTTTTATTTTTAGCTCATGTTAAACAAAGTTATAGTATGTATTTAATAACTCCATTCTCTTTCATAGTCTTTGCTTGTATGTCTCTGATTATTGGTGCTCTTTCCTCCTCCTGGTATCTTTGTGTAATCGCAACAGAAGACATTATGAATATTTTACTATAATCCTGTGTTCCTTATAATATCATATCTATGAATAATCCCTGAGCTAGAATTAAAATTGTGCTCTTCCAGAAAGAGCATATATTTGGTTTGCCAGTTGTCTGTTATTACTACCAATCTGGGACTATATTAAGTTAAATTCTAAATCTGAGCTGGGTATGGTGGCTCATGCCAATAATTCTAGCTATTTAGGAGGCTAAGGCAGGAGGACAGTACCTTGAGGCTGGCCTGGGCAATTTAATGCAATTCTACCTCAATGGGGATGTAACTCTGTGTTCAATCACCAGTATCAGCCTGGTGTAGTGGCGCATGCCTATAATCCCAGCACTCAGGAGGCTGAGAGAGGAGGATCCTTGCAAGTTTCAGACCAGCCTGGGCTACAAAGTGAGCTCAAGGCTGGCCTGAACTACATAGCGAGACTCTGTCTCCAAATGACAACAAAAAAAATTTAAAAAGTAGAACCAATCACCAGTATCATAAAAATTAAATGAATGAATGAATGAATAAATAAATAAATAAAGGGCTGGGGGTGTAGCTCAGTGGTAGAATGCCCCAGGTTCATTCCTCAGTACCACCAAATTAAAAAATAAATAAATAAATCTAATTCAGGTCATAATTCTGAATTGAGTTTGGTTTCTGATTATGAATTTTCAAAAAAAATTTTCCCTCATACTGTCAATGTTAAAGACAAATTTCTTTGTCATTCCCTTTTAATTACTTTTTGAGGTTTAATGTCTTCTACACACTAGTATTATTAGATGGTCCAGTTAGTCTAAACTTGCTTTATCTTTTGCCTTCAGCACTCTATTAAGCCACCTGCATGATAGATTAAGAATACTAGGTAGGAAATATCCTCACTGTAGAAATGGTTTTGCCTCTGATTTTCTAGGATTTTTCCTTTCACTTTGTGTTTTGGCTTCTGCATATTGCTTATGTTCCTGCTATCTCAACAATTTGTTTATAAAGATAAGTTATGTATTTCATTTGACATTTTAGTTGTTTATGCTGGGAGGGCTATTCAGGAAATCTAGGCTACCATACTGATAGAAACAGAAGCCTATTTTCACTCATTCATTCACTCATTCAGTAAACAATTATTCAGTACTTATTATGTGACAGGCAAAAGGTGGATAAAGAGGTGAAAAGACATACTCTATGGATTCAAGAAGCTTACAGACATGTAAATTAATCAGTGCAATAGAGTGTTATAGATGTTGTATTAGAAATCTGCACAACCTAGACCTTGATTTCAATAGAATGGTAGGCAATAGTAGAGAAAGACTACATAAGATTATGGGTACTCATAAAGAATAGTACTCATTTCAAATCAATAAATATATAATAAATACTATGTGGTAGGAATTGTTTTAGGTGCTAGCTACTATCTAAATGAAGAATACAGAATAAGCACTTATAAATGTGATGAGAGTTATGAAAAGGGAAATACAAAGTGCTGAGGATATATATATATATATTATATATATAAATCTAAACTAATAGGTATGTAAAAGCATCTCTGAAAAAGTGACATAAAATTGAAATAAATTTTGTACATTGACAGTATTAGACAGAAAAAAATGACAGAACATTCTAGAAACAAAGGCATTAAAACACAATATAGAGGTATTAGGATGGTCCATTTAGGACAATGAACTATAAAGTTCCAAGGCATAGGGCCCCTAACATGAGGCTGGAGAGGTAAGCAGGAGTGGAATTATGTAAGGGACTACAGATTATGCTAAAGCTACTGAATTTTATTTTGAAGGTAGTAGGGGGAATCATTAATGAGGTTTTATTTACTAAGCAACCTCATTCTGGTTTCAGTATGGAACAGGGTTCAAAGAGAGGTATTTTAGCATACTAAGTAGTCCACCTGGAAGATAAGTGTTTGAAGTATGCAGAACTGGTCAGAATGCATAGGAGGGCAAGGGCAAGGGAAAAGAGATTTTAAAAATTAAAAAGTAAAAGAATGTGGTTACTAATTGGACATGAAGAATGAGAGAAATAGTAAAAAGAGGAGTCATAAATGACTTGGAAATGTCTTTGCTGGGTACCAGGTAATTGTGGGTGCCAGATACCTAGTAGACAGTCATTAAAAGTTAAGTCAACAGGTATCACTTTAATTGTTTTTCACGTGCACATCTCTTCTAACAGGCACTGTTTTTCAGATGTCCAAAATCTATCCTTTGCAGCATTTCTAAACCACAAACTTAAATTGTCCTGAATCAAAATTTACTACATTGGTTTTTTAAAAAATAAATGTGACTACCTCCTTAGTACCTCACCCCACCCCCTGTGGTGAACCCCTACCTATTACTATTAGACCCCATCTACAGCCAATTTTCTCTTTTTCTTGCATCGAAGTTTGCTTGTTCTGTGTTCATTATGTCAGTGGTTGTTCTTTGCCCGTCAATTTTAGTTAATATAAATAACACTAGTTTATTGTGTTGTAAATACTGATACTTTTCATTTATTCAGCTACCTACCTTTGAGTACTGAGCTCATGCCAGACCTTGTTTAAAGGGATATTCTAACCTTCTCAAATAATATTATCTGCATTTTAAAAGGTTGTTCTAGGAAACCGATCATTTATTTGTTTTTCTCTTACGGCTAAGGATCTGTAGAATGATGTCAGGTCAGTGGACAGGGAGTCAGAAATCTTCTACACCTATCAAATCACTATATAGATTTCTGTGTACAATTGAACTTTCCACCAAATAAGTTACCTTGCAAATGAGCTTTCCTACTTTTGAAACTTCCTTGACACGTTATTATGCTTCATTTTGTAGTTTCCCTGTTGTATCAAACTCTGATAACTTCTCTCAACTAGTTTATAAGTCAGTATTTCTTAACTTGCAAACCACGTTTTCTTTAGACAGGGTCCTAAAATTCATATATATAGAGTCATACCTTTAGACTGAATTATGTACCTTGTACATATGTATACGTGCACCAATTTTCAAATATGTACAAACACCTGACATTAATATCATCTAAGTCCATTTAGAAATATTGGTGAACTCATACTAACTTTCTTCAAAAAGTATTTTTAGAAAACATCAAAAAATTAGTTATTAAAGCTACAACTGCTTTCTTGTGGCACTTCTGTGCAATATTTTTACACAAATATGAGTCTTTAAGGAAGGCTGTAACCATTTCTGTAATTTCCTAAAGATTAGGGATTTTGTACTTCTCTTATTTTATATCTTCTATAGCAAGCTAATAAATGTTTGATGAATACACGAATGATTCAAAACCTACCTTATCTGCCAAGTATAATCTTGTAAAGACTTTCTCATAAGCTGGGTTATTTCAAAGTTTTCATTCACTGATTGGGTAGCATTTGTCAGTGTTTTCAACTATAACAAAAAAAGGAGCTCTTTGTGTATTACATCCGCCTGTAAGCACTACTAGAATTCATCTGTAGGTCTAAGCACAAATGTAGAACTCTCTTGTATATTACTGCCTTGTCTTTCACAATATATTTTCATATGAGAAGTTTGGAGCAGAACTGAGAAGATCCAGAATATCTAGCCAAGCAATAAACATCATACCTTCAACATACTAGGCAATCAATTAATCAGTTGATGTAAGAAATGCCATTAGATCAAGATGGCAGATTGAGCAGAAGTATGTACTTTATCTTCCATTTAAAACCCCAGAGTAAGAAAAAATATATCTATTTTTATCAGTAAAGACATTGCTTTATCACATCCGTATTTATATACCTACACTGATAACCTATGTCTATGTCCCTCCATGAAAGTGTAACAATAACATAGGAAAATAAGAAAAAATAAAATAAGAAGGTATACTGCAGAAGGTATAAAATAGTTATCTTAAACATACTTTCACAGAGAAATAAAACTGAAGGAAACTACACCCTAAACTTCTTGCAGGAGAAATCTGTCCCAGAGGTGACTGCAGTCAACTGATACCAATCCAACTGGAAGACATAAAAGATCCAAACAAATAGGAATACATTCTATTCTTGGCTAAGGAAAACCAATTTTTATAAAGACAGAAGTTCTTTCACAATGCAACAATATACTGCAACCACAATAAAATGGCAATATGGTTAAATATAGGGTAACAGATGAATTCTAAAGTTTGCATGGAAAATCAAATCCATTAAAAATATCCAAAACATTCTATAAAAGACAATAATGAAAAGGCAATTGTCCTACTACATACCATGATTTAATAATTAAACATGGTAATGAAAACAGGGCAGAACTAGACCAGCATGTCTACAGAATAAATAATTCTTAAATAAACCTATATAAATATGATGTGCAACTGGCTTATTCTAAAGGCAGTATTTTAGAAATATAAATTATTATATAATAATTATATAAATTAAGCACAGAATTTGAATACAGAAAAACAAAACTTATTGTTTGGCTATTTGGCCAATCTCTTACGAGAAAAATTGATTTGGAACCCAACTTCTTCCAAGACACAGCTATAAACTCTAGAGAGAAAAAATGGCTATAAATTACACACATAGCACACCATACTACACACGTACACACCACACGCACACTACAAGAATATATAGAAAAGTATCTTTACAATTGTGGTCTGTCAGATATCGGACACTACTGGCTGCCCTTGAATGATCGTTTTTCTTGGTTAGTAGAACAAAGATTGCCTAAGGACAGCTTGGCAACTCCATTAGAATTAAATGTTTAAATACCTGGCAAGGTATTTAATTTAAAATGGGCTTAATCCCCAGGTCTGCACAAAAAGTAACTTGTTTATAGATTTCTGCTTTACAGATTTTTTCCAACAATATTATCTAATTTTAAAATCTGATCTAGCAATAAGAATTTTGTTTCATGAGAGTACTTATATACAGAGACTTTAGGATTGTTTTTCATGTACTCATTAGATGAATGAAATCTATCAAAGCACCTTGTCCGAGAGAACACTAGCTAACAAAATGCTCGCGTACCAGTAACCCAGGAGAGCCTACGTGAAAGGCATAGAGTTTGTGAAAATGATTAGTGGGGACTCTTGATTCTTCCTCAGAATTTATATAGAGTCTTCAGAATGTCAGAGGCAACAAACTGGATTGCTTACCTCAGACCAAGACTCTTCAATTTGACGTGAAATTCAAGACCTCCAATATTCTTAATAAGATACTCTATTACAAAACTTTAAAACTGGACAACTCTTTTAAGTTAAAGCCATAGAATCAGCAATATTACTGATCAGTAAATAATGCATATATGATAAGAATTACTCCAGGATTTTTGAGGCTCTTTCCCCAGCCAGTCAACTCTGTTGTTTTATTTTGTTTTTTTTGTTGTTGTTTTTTGTTTTTTGTTTTTTGTTTTTTTTTTTTCAGAAAAACTAAACTCAAATCACTGTTCTAACTGATGAAGAATACCAACAGAAAATGTTCTATGATAACTTGCTGTATACTAGGAACTTTTTCTCTTTCATAGTAAATGTTCAGCTCTGAAATACAACAAAGTCCATTCTCACCTTTTCATACAGTAGCTGAGGCAAATTCTGTTTCTGCCTCTCCTGAAAACATTCATAAAGTTGCAGCAGCCTCGCACATAGCACTTGTTCTTGATTGAAGAGAGGGTGATGGCTAAATTGCAAACCAATAATGTTGAGATCTAATTGGTACATTTCCCTTTGCCCTTCCATTTTGTTCCTAAAAGAACTTCCAATGTGAGATTTTATTGCCTTTTAAAGAAAAATATAGACAACGTTAATTTGATCCTCTTTAAAATTACAAGTAACTTTTCCTGATAAAAGTAGCATGTAAATTATACAAAAAATAGAGAAAAGTAAAAACAATAATGGTCTTCTTTGAAATTGATTACAGCCTTTAATTTCATAAAACATATTTGTATTACAGCATTTTAGTCATCTTGCTACAAACTATTGTCATCTTCCTTACTCTTGTTTACTGGTGGAAGCTGGACTTATGGGACCAAAAATAATTTCCTATAGAAATACTACGACAAATGTAACAAGTTTGAGTGGAGTTTGGTTACATGATGGTATAATGATCACCTGTTGACCAGCGTAATGATTTAGCAAAGCATTGTTTTTAAATGAATATATTGGTAATCATCTGGAAAATTCCCTGGCGCCACCTCAGCATCTAAACAAATGCTGCATAAGGAAAGTGTTCCTTTTTTCTTTTTTTAATTTTAAAAATTAAAAAAAACTAACAAAACAACAAAGAAGAGAAAATCAAAACAACACAAAAACAACAAAAATGATACATGACCTCAAAACAAAATGATAGGAACTTACAATGGTTGCTACATTACATACTGTTATCTTCAACGAAGTTGCTCAGTCCACTAGACATATGAATGTAAGACTGATCAAATAATCAAAGACAGTAACAAGTAATAATAATACAAAAAACAACATTGGAAATGATGCAGAGCTTCACCATACAAGATAGTAGGACTTCAACAATGGGTCTTATACTGCATATTGTTGTTTTCAGACCAGTCATACTGATTACCAGATTCAAGTGTGCCAAATGAGAGTGTGTTATGGTGTAGATCTAGAATGTCCTCCCAGAATCTGTGTTCAGAGGTGGGACTCTTGGAAAGTTACTGGATTATGGGGGCACTATATGCATCAGTGGATCAGTCCACTAACAGCATTATAGCTGAACACGCTGTTAGGAAGCGGGGCCTGGTTAGAACAGGCAGGTCACTGGGTGGTAGGTGACCTGGAAGGGCAGTGTCCTTCCATCCTCTTCTCTTTCTGCTTCCTGACTGCCATGAGTTGAGCATCTTTTCCCCACCATGCCCCCTGCCATCCTATTAGTGCCTTAGAACAAGCTGTCCATGGACTGCAACTGTGAGCCAAAACAAACTCCTCCTTTAAGTTGTTAGTGTTGGAATTTATGTTCCAGAGACAGGGAATTGCCTAGGAGAGATAGTCTCTGTCTGAATACCAGATTGTTTCTCAATTGGTGAAAGTCTGTAGGCCTACATTATACGCAAAATGATTCATGGATGGTTTAGTCCATTTTGAATTTAACCTCATATATTTGACAATTAATGTGACTCATTTTTAATGATCTAATTTGAGAAGGTTAGTGAGTTACTTAGCATGCACAGCCTAATTCTTGCATGTATAGCCAAATTCATCAATTTCTAGTCACTCCCAGCAAGAGCCATGATGAATCTATCTAAAGGAGAACAATAAAGTGGGGCATGGTGGTACATGACTGTAATCACAGAACTCTGGGAGGCTGAGGCAGGATGATCCAAGTTGGAACCAAGCCTGGGCAACTGAGGAAGATAAGGAAACCTCATCTTAAAAAATAAATAAAGGGCTGGAAAGATAGCTCAGTGGAAGGCCCAGTACCACAAAAGAAAATGACAAACAAACACTGAGCCCTGTCTTTGGATAATTCTGGTATACAGTGGCATGTGCTATGGTTTGTCTCCTCTGAAACTCATGTTGAAATTTAACTGCCATTATGAGATATTTAGAGATGGGACCAAGTGAGACCTGTAACAGGTGGTTAGGACTCTGGCCTTACGAATGGATTAATCTATGCGTGTGACTGGTAGGTTAATGGGTTGTCACAAGAGTGTATCTTCTATAAGAGCCAGTTTGCCTGGGTTTCTCTGGGTCTGACATAGTCCCTGTCTCTTGCTATTTGATGCCCTGGTGTGCCATCTAGGACCCTGCAGTGAAAAGGTCATCATCAGATGCAACCTATCAACCATGGCACAAAACCATGAGCCAAAATACAGCTCTACTTTTTATAATTTATAGAGTGTGTGGTATTTTGTTATTTTCAACAGAAAATGAACTAAGATATATACTGTCTAGTCTGTGACAGTGCTATTACACTTGCTGTTGTGCTAAAAAAAAAAAAAAACCCTGTTTCCCACCTCAAACCTGATGTGAACAGATCAATGCCCCTCAAGGAATATGGGCTACCAGTATAGTAGCTAAATATTTCCTGAACTAGGAAGCTTCCCCTCTTCCTCCCCACTTCCTACTTCATTAAGACGGTAGGCAAACAGCCACAAGGCTTGTTTTCCTTTGATTCATATCTATTAAGTGTGTTCTTTAAGGCTCAACTCAGACTCCAACTTAGGGATTCATCAATTGCTAGTAAACTGAACAGATCATTATTAGAAAAAAAAACACAAGGAAAAAAGTTTCCATTTTAAACAACAAAATTGGAAATGAATTTCTAGAAACTGAAGTTCCTAAGCTAGAGATACCTATCTTGTTAGTCAGATTCAGCACTAATTGAAAAGTTATGCTGCTTACTTGGTTTGGATTTCTGTTCCAGTAGAAATAAACCACTCTCTGGCCCTATCGTACTCATTATCTACTAACTGTGGTTCTCAGAAGCTGGAGAAGGGTAATTGAGATGGTTGAATTTCTAACAACACTTGAAGTGAGTTTAGACTGGAGAGCAAAAACTACAGGTAGAAGTCAGTGTCGGCTTCAAGCATCTGAAGAGCTGTCATACAGGTGAAATATTTTATGAGTTCTCTATGACCAATCAAAGTCCAAATAAATAGAAGTGATGAGGAGTAGATTTTAATTCAACAGAAAACAATAAACAAAACTGCAACACTGAAATGAATTTTTTGGGGAGGTAAAATCCCTGACATATTAGTTATAAGCAACACTTGATTTGAGAAGATTAAGTATTCTTCTAAAACCAGATACATGTGTTATACCAAAAACACAAAAACATGGGCAATGGTGAATCAAAGATTAAACAAAGGTCCCCAAACATGCAGACCTTAATGAATTTTCTGTTTATGTACACCATAATAGCTATGATTTAAAAGACAGACAGTACCAAGTGTTGGCAAGAAATCAAACACCTGGAACTCTCACACACTTCTACTCTGTTTATAATTTTCTACAGCCACTTTTGGAACCCTGTTTGGCATTATACACTAAAACTGAACACATACAAACCTGGAAGTAGCATTTCTACTCTGATATTCTCTCTCTCATCTTTCTCTTTGTCTCTGTCTCTCCCTGTATATATATATGTATATCTTTATATACATAATCAGAATACATATCTCTATATATTTATATATTATATGTGCATACATATAAACCTCTTTGTATACATAATCAGAATGCATGTACAAAGTTTTATAGCAGTGTTACTAATAATAGTTAATAACTGGATTCAACTTATAGCCCTTAAATGCAGAATGGATAAATAAATATGTATTCCATACAATGACGTTTTGTACATTAAAAAAGCAAACTACTGCATACAGCAATGTAGAATAAATAATCTAGATTTCATTTATGTAAATTAGGCAAAATTAACAGACAAGAGTAACCTATAGTGGTAGAAGTTATAATAGTGGTTAACTTGAATACCATTAATTCATTCATTATTTTTTCAGAATTAGGATTGGCTTTGATGTTGGATTCTTCTTTTTTCACTTCACATTTTACTTTGAGCATTTCTCCATGTTATTAAATATTTCCCAAAAATTCAACCTTAAGGGATGCTTAATATTTCATTACAGTTTACCTGTTATGTTACTAGATTCAATATATTTAAAGGGTAAAATTAAACTATAAAAATTTGTTATAATTGATATTACAAGAATTCCATTTCTAATTTCCAGTCACAAATAAACTGCTATTGGTTACCTTCTTGTATGTGGTCTTTAGTGCTGGATTTAAAGATTCCTTGTTTGTATTTAGTCTGAAATTCCATGACTGTCTAATAGGTGAAGGTAATGACATTATTTCTCCACTCTCTTCAAACCAACACTTTCCCTGTCAAAAAATTTAAGAAATATAGTAATTAGGTATTTCCCTAAAAGTAAATGTCATGCACCATCCATAGTAGTATAACTTGTCAACTAGTGCACTTGCCTTACTTAGTTTAAGCAGGCGATTTTCCATTTTGTTGCAGGTCTTTTTAAATATTTTTGGCTTTTTCTGAATATAGAATCCTTCATCTTCTAAAATGCGTGGGATCATACCTTTCGGCAGTTTATACTGGTTGGCCACTTAATAATAAAACTTAGATATTAAAGTCAGAAACAGAGAATAACACAGAAAATTTATAATAGTTTAAGATCGATGTTTTTTATTTATCCAGCATACAAAGAAGGTATTATCTTGAAATAAGATTATTAAGATTCATTAATAAGATCCATTAATGACTTGAACATTTTATTGGAAAAGAACATTACCTGGGGAACTACTTGGCACAAAAATATTTGCCTGCTCTTTTGTTTGTTTTTCTTGATCATCTTCATATTCAGCAGCTTTTACTTCAAATAAATCTGTAAAAATGACTTCTTCCACAAAATCTTCATCTTGGCCCTTAGCAACATTTTGTAATTTATTACCAACTGTAAAGCATTTGGAGTAACTATCATTTACCGACCTCTGTTGAATATCAAAAAGAAAAATAAGTTGACACCTTGCCTCCAATGATTAAGATGTGGATAAATAAAATATACTGGAACCTTACTGTGATCTGTAATTCTGATACACTTCATTCAGAACAAGTAGTAGCTGAAAGTGTGCTATAATGAAATTTCACATAACACAGAGGAACTCATCATTATACAATATGATTTTTCTATAGCCCATTTTGCAATTCTCCAGTTAAAGACTGCTGAAATAGAAATGTAATTTAAGGCCCTCCTGCCCTGTGGAAAAATGTTCAAAGATACTGGGTCTCATAATATGAGACTCAAAGTATAGGACAGAATCCAGAGATGACAGACTATGTGGTCTTAACCCCTCCTTTTTTCTATCACTCAGAAAGCACTGCTACCTGAAATAATATGAAATAGGTATGCTGTTTTCTAGAAGGAATTTAAAAGCCAAAAGCAGAAAATATTCAACAAATAAGGCTATGGCTGAGTCATTATAGTGAAATTCTGAAATATAGATATGGAAAAAGGTGTAGTACTAAACAATAAAAATACATATTTTTATATCATGATCAGGAGTCTTTTCACAAACATAAAAGCATTAATTTACTTGTGTGACTTATATCATTTGAAATCTACACATACTGAATGAGAGAGTGTAGCTAAAAGTTTAATTCTCAAAAATTAAGTTAAGGTAAAAAATAAAATAGAAAGAATTAATCACTAGATTATTTGAGTAGAAAACCTTGCACGGTCTTCACTAACTATGACAAAATCCTAAAAATGGTGTAAACATCACCTATGTTCATATCAAGTCATTGTATCATCATGCCTGCTTACTTCTTTCATAAACCCAAGAAAATATCTTATATACATAAATCTTTATGGTGTTATTTACATTTCAAAGAAGGTATGTCACCAACATGTAGGAGCAAGATTTGGCACATGTGCACACAGTCTATCTCTTTGAGGATTCCACTAACAGAGTTACTGATGATCCGTGTCCCGGCTAGACATGCCATACTAAACTTCCCGTACAGCACTTCTAGTGTGTGGACCAGGGCTTTCAACCTGCCTTCAGAGCCACAGTCTGCCCAAATGGTAATCTCTGAAACTGTACCCAGACTCTGATGTACGTCCCTACAGGTGTCTTTTATGATGTCTAACCAATGTGCCCTTATTTTTAAGCCCAGACAATCTGTGACATTGACCAATATAAGACCTCTATGTCCAACTTTTTCTTATTTAGCTTAAGTCCATCTGCTATCCCAGATCGCCTCCTTGGTCTTCACCACGCAATATGTAGCACAGCAGGGACTGGGGCTTTAGCTCAGCGGCAAAAGCGCCTGCCTGGCAAGCGCAAGGTCGTGAGTTCGATTCCCGGTACCGGAGAAAAACCAAAACCAAAAAAAAAAAAAAAAAAAAAAAAAAAAAAAAAAAAAAAAAAATATGTAGCACAGCAGTACCTGTGCAGGGACAGGGAACAATTCAGAAGATAAAAGTGTAGATGCCTCTAAATGAGTATTGAGTGCAACAGACAATTACTACCCCTATTCCCTCTCACAAGAACATGCTTGCTAAACCATGGTGTGACAAAAAGAACCATTGGAAGCCAACTCTGGACCTAGATCAGGGTTCCCTCGAAGAGATACTTGGAGCCAAGCATCCCCTACCTCTCAGCAGGAAGAGGCCACAATCAAATTCAGCCTCCAATAAAATAAGTGCTTTTCCTCCTTGTAATGTGGAGACTACTTTCCTCTAGGCCCCAACCTCACCAGGCAGATAGCTTTTCCAGACATCTCCAAATATCTAACCCTGGAATGTCTCACGCCCAAATAGTCTGTTTGCCACTCCCTCAATCCCAATGACCTAATTTATTTTGTGCTTGCCCTATGAGAGGAAAAAGTGGCCACAGCTACTGTACCTATCCCTGGCGTACTCTGCTGGGTGGGAGGATCAAGGACAGGACTTCTCTTGTTCGACAAGAAAAGTTAATTCCTTAGTCCATACTCTGGGATGGTGGGAGGTCAGTTAACTTGGAGTTTAAGAACACAGGGATGTTTGATAAGCATTTTTTGATATTCCAATATTCATTGAGTGTCTAATATACTCTGGAAATAAGATGAATAAATAGACAAAGCATTATGTAGTGATAAGTATTATGAAGAAAAATAAAGCAAGAGAAAATGCTGGACTGAGTGAGCTGTGTGCTATGATTTTAGGAACAACCATCAGATACAATATCTTTAATAATGTGTCATTTGAATAGAGACCCAAAGGTACCAAAGGTAGTGAGGGGTAGAGCATGAGGATAAGGAAAGGATTTTCTAGGCCAGTGATGGCAAACTTTTTGGAGTTTTTAATGATAGCAAACAGCCTGCTGAGGCATGCGTGCCATAGGTTCACCACCATTGTTCTAGACAGATAAATAGGTTCAAAGACACCAAAGCAAAAGAATGCCGTGAGGAACAGAAGAAAGCCAGTGTGATTGGAGGTAGGTGTGCGAAAGGGCAAAGTAGAAGAAATGAAATGAATCGAGGGTGGTACTGATGGGGCCGGGTCATGTAAGGACTTTAGCATACATTTTAAGTGAGGCAGGAAACCATTAAAAGATGTAAGCAAAAGAATTGTTTGTCCTAGATTTCAACAGGACCACACTGACTACTGCGTGGCATGTAAATCAGCTGTGAGGCCAACAGTAAATAACAGCTTTGTTATGAACAAGGCACCCAAGTAAAAGAGGATCTAAGGATAACATCTGGTTTGGCTCAGCAACTGGAAAAATGGAACCACTATTTACTAGTGATTCTGTTTATATAAAACTATGTGTGTGCATTTATGGGCATAAGCACAGAGTGAGGTATAAAAAATTATAATAGTGGCTATCTCGGGGTAGTAGGATGATTTTTATTTTCTTTCTCATTGTTTTCTGCATTGTTTTTGTACCATTTGGTCAACATTTTAAAAGATAAAGTGTTTATTGTGCAAAAACAAAAAAGGAATGAAAAATAGAGCAAAGAATACAAAGAAAGGAAGTGGTAAAGACTGGAAAGTAAACAGGAGGGCACGTGGGGTGCTTAGAAGGAACTGAAAGGAGGACTCGAGGGATGTGGAATGACCGAGAAGTGCCAGAAGGTACTAGGTGGGACAACTGGGAAGAGATGGCTCGAAGTGGCAGGGCCCTTAAAAAACTGAAGACAGCTGAGCATGGTGGTTCATCCCTTTAGTCCCAGCACTTGGGAGGCTGAGGAGGGAGGGTCGGTATGAGTTTTAGGCCAGCCTGGTGAGTCCATGGCCACCCTAGACTACAAGACCCTGCTTCAAAAAGCTAAAACAAACAAAAAGCCTGTGAAAAGATTTGAAAGACAGAGGAACTGGAAAAAGTTGTAAGAACAGGAGAAGAAAGGAAAGCTAACGAGATAAGTCAGGAGGGGATGGAGAAAGATGAGTGTAACCAACTCATACCTGAGGAAAGGGCAAGCATAGAGCAACAGGGGACCAAAACGGTGGAAAGAACTGATAGCAATCAGAGGGTGTAGGATTGGCCTTGGAGGGTGAAGACTGGAGAAACTATAAGGGATAGTAGAGATCATGGAGAACAACGTGGACACTTGGAGGAATGATAGGGGAAAAAAAGAATACACAGGCTTCCACCTCTACTCCCCAGCTCTATCAATGCTCAACCATCTGTACCTCAGTTTCCTCACCTTTAGGAAAAAGACAATAATGCCCGGTTCCCAAGGTTGTTTTAAAGATTTAAATGGTTCAGTTCATTTTGAAAATTTAGTATATCATTGGCGTTCAATATGTGCTCAGTATATGTAAGGTATTATTATGAACAACTCCTGAAGTCAAAGAGGAGAGGAAGGCATAATAAAAATTTAATCTCCCATCAATTATTGCATTCCATGCCTCTAATAAAGAGTTGTTTTCGTCAGAGTGAGGATGCAAGAGAGAAAGGAACAAATCCAACCTGCTCTGATGACTGGCCCAATGTTGAGCCTTCTTCACCGCTCAGAACGAAAAATGAGAGACCTTCATCCAATAAGACTTCAGTCTGGGGGTTAAATAACAGTAAATCAGTGTTTAGTGTTGAAATGAACATTCTTCTTATAAGTGAAGAAATACTTTCCTGTAATATGGTAAACTATTATTTTAAGAAAGGAAGAGGAGCTCCAAGTTATTTTTATCAAGTTATATTTAGCTTTGAGTCTGTTTAGTTTGCGAGATTTTTAAAATTCTTTTAATGTTTTGGTAACTGCAACATAAAACAGAATAAAGAAAAGCCAAAATCTCCACCTTCCCAAATTATTTCCTCACTTTAATCTGAGAATTAGGAATATCACCTTACAGTTTGAACAAAATACTGGCTCAGGTCAGACTTTTTCTCTCTGCCTATTTTCAAGTATTCTCATGCATACAAGTTTTCACATACAGACACAAGTACCGTTTCATCTCATAATCCTTGGTGGAATTATGGGTAATTAAATATCTTAAACATGGTGTATAATTGCTATAACCTTGCTGATAAATAAGACTTTATTTTTTCCGTGTTGAGGAAAGTGGATCTTTGTAATGAAAATTACATGACATCTTTCTCACATGTATATATTAAAGTGAAGTGTTTTAAGAGCAGTTTATAGTGAAACAATTCTAAAATAAAAAGTAAAACTCATAGTTACTAGGAATAAGGAAATTCAACATCTGTGAATTATACAAGTTTACCTTATAGCCTGTTTGTAGCTGTGATTTAGTCATCCTATTAACTTTAAAAGTTACTGCGGTAGAGATACAGCTTGGTGACAGAGTGCTTACCCACTCAAACAAGTCCTTTAAAATTTTACTATGTTTAAATTTATCTTTTAACAATATCTTATTATACTATTTTAGGATAAAAAGTAATACCAACTAGGAATAGAGAGTGATTGCAAACGAGCATGATAAGCCCAGAGCAGGACTCTGGTGTTGATTGCATAATTCTATAAATTAAGTAAAAGTTATTGGATCATACCCTTAAAGTGAGTGATTTTTTTCTGTGAACAAAGCTGTTCTAAAAAGCTTTTCTTAGCCAGACATGGTGGTGTACATCTGTAATCCCAGCACTTGGGAGGCTGAAGCAGGAGGATTTCCAGGAGTTTGAGGCAGGCCTGGGCTACATAGTGAGTTCAAGGCCAGCCTGAGCTACATAGCAAAACCCTGTCTCAAAAAAACCAAAAAAAAAAAAAAGAAAAAAAAAGTTTTCTTTTTAAAAAAAGTTATTTATCTCAGACTCTTGATGTATATTAATATCAATGAACAGCTGAGTTGAAGACTTTTCCTCTCAACTTGAAGTACAAAATAAATAAATGTTTATAAAAATAAGCATAGTTGTGCTCATAAATCTTTTGTTACAAAAATCAAGACTTCTGAGAGTTTTTCTTTTTAAAAGTATGTATCTATATGTGTGTACATATGTGTTTTCACAAGATTTCATACATAATTGATATGACCCACTCACTTATCTTTTTTGGGTTTTAGGCTTTACAATATAGGGATGTCATGAAACGAGGGGAAAGAGCAGCAAAGAAGTTGAAGCTTTCTGGAATTAAGGAGCTAAATTAAGATTGAACTTTGGGTTGGGGATGTGTCTCAGAGGTATAGCACTTGTCTAGCATGTATGAGCCTCGGAATCACTCCTCATATTGAAAAAAAAAATCAGACAATGGAAAAGACAACTAAATTTCAAATTCTTTTCTGGTACTGGGAATTGAACCCAAGGCCTTTACGCTCAGCCCTTTGAGACAAGGTCTTGCCAAGTTCCTAAACTGTCCAGGCTGGGCTTGAACTTGAGATCTTCCTGCCCCCTCATCCCAGGGCTATGCTTATACATATGTCACTCATGACTATTTCAGTTCTTTTTTGAAAATAACAAGTTTATTATTCTATATTTTTTCATTTAAAGTGGTAAATTTGAAAAGAAGAACTCTTAAAAAACAATTACCTTAGCATTTCTTAGTTTTTCTCTTACTTTGCCTCTTAGTGTCTCTACTATGCTTTGATTTTCTTCTCCATCTAAATAAGGGAACCAACATAATGTAGAGTTCACAGTACTTTCTTATAGTTAAACAACAGTAACAGCAAAACTACTTACTTGACATCTTAACTGCACACATTTCTAAGCATCATTACAATTCCAAAAACCAGGGCATTTCCCCATGAGAGCTTAGAATCCTCTTGTTACCTGAAATACTTAAATCTACGGTGGTTTCTGGCTCTTTTTGTGACTTTTTCACCTTTTGCTCTTTCTGCAGTTATTGGTCACAGTCTTTCTCTGAGTACCTGTTTTAGCTACTTAATATTCATTTTATACAATCAGTGTAATAATCTGACCCCTACTTTGACCAGTTCTTAGAAGAAATGAAACAGTCCTGTAAGGTATAAAGAAGGCCTCAGTTGTTGTGTGCTCTAAACAATGTGTTATTTTTTGCTTAACCCCTGTATGATCCACTGGTTGAAATAAGAAAGAGGGAAGCCCTGAGGGCAGTAAAAAAAACTATAGGATCTCATGGTCAGTTTGCTTTGTATTTTGCTTTTTCCTCTCCTTACTTTTCAGTCCTGAAAGGTTACACTGGTGGAAAAGGAGGGGATAAGCATAGATCTAAATCATAACAGGTAATGAAAATTTTTATGAGCTTAAGTATAGCATTCCTTGGTACAACTTAAAAATTACAAATTAGTTTATTTATATTGTACTCTCAGTCTGAGAATGGCAGTCAGCACATAAAAGGTGCTCAATTAATATTTCCTGGATAAACAAAGCAGAGTTCAACCAGTATTTTTCTCCCCAACATTTGGACATTCTTGAAGCAACTTCTATATCTACAGGCTGTTTCAAACACTACTGGATTCTCCATGTTTGCAGAAAGAGAAAAATGGAGAATATGGAACTTACTTTTACTATATGCATTGATTTTTCTATGGATTTCCTTATGTCTACCTTATATTCCTTTAGAAAGTTGTATTCTTGGCTGAATCTCTATCAGAAGAGTAATCACTTGTATGTTTTAAAAATAAAAACCAAAAATAACGTGTGGTATACTTATTGAAAACCTTTTGAAAGATGCTCGCCTATAATTTCTTCTACTGCAATGTTGTCTGTCCTTTCTGACATCTGTCAAAATAGAAAAGCAGGTTAACTTGCATCTTCATTTTACCATTGAACATCTTTTCATGTGTTCATCAGCTTACTGACCATAATTTCTTTCAAAATGCCAATTCATAGTTTCTTGTTTTTTTAAATTTTAACTTTTTATTAATTTGTGAATTTTGTCTTTACACATGGTAGATTTTTTAAATTAAGGAATTCCTGTCTGTAATATCAGAAAGGATCTATTAATGGTAAAAAATCCAAAGATTAATTCTTTGTATTCATGTATCACCTACTTATTCATCACCTAGTAGAGTCAAATGAGGTCAGATATGTATGAAAATCCTTTGAAAACTCAGTGTTATACCAGTGTTAGCTATTACTTGATTATCTTGTACGGTCTTACAATGTTGAGCATCCTTAGAAAACTTTCCATATCTTTCCCCTGTATTCTTAAATATCTTCTTCCTTATATTCTTCAATGGTCATGCTTTTTTCCTATAGACTAAAAGTAGGCACATTTAAAGGTTTTGGAGAGTGCATGTACTTTCACGGTTCTTCAAATCTATTTCCAGCCTTCACTGTTCTCTTGAGCATTAAAACCATATTTCTATTGGCCTCCTAGTAATTCTAATTTAATATCTTATACCAGATTACCTATAATGGGTCTTTATACTATTGACAGTCCAAATAGGAGTATCATTCATCCCTATCTTTGCCTATGGCTTATTTAACATGTGAATTATAGAATTCATATGTAGAACCAAGTATACAACATTATTAGGATTATTTTACATTTAGAATTAAGTTATTTAGTATACTCAGGATCCTTATAAAGTACTTTATAATTTTTATTGTAATTTGCTTACAAAAGACCCTGCAGACCAAAGCAATCTTAGGCAAAAAAAAAAAAAGAGAGAGAGAGAGAGAGAGAAATAGAAGCATCACACGCTGACTTCAAAATATACTACAAAGCCATAATAATCAAAACAACAGGTTAGCATCATAAAAATTGACACATAGATCAATGGAACAGAATAGGAGCCCCAAAATAAATCCACATATTTGACATTAATTCATTTTTAACAGATTTACCAAATATACACAATGGGGAAAGGACAATCTCTTCCATAAATAGTGTTGGCACAACTAGATAATGAAAATGAAATTATACATATCATATCACATGAGAATGAAATTAGACATATCATATCATATCACAGCATAGCATGGTATATCACATACAAAAGTTAACTTAAAATAGATTAAGTGTAAGATGTAAAATGTGAAATTACTATACAAAAATGTAAAAGAAAAGTTCTATGACATTGACCTGGATGATGATTTTCTAGATGTGAATGCAAAAGCACAGACAACAGAACCAGAAATAGACAAGTGAGGTTATATCACACTAAAAACCTTTTCTGTAGCAAAGGAAGCAATCAACAAAGTGAAGAAACACAACCTACAGAATTAGAGAAATTGTTTGCAAAACATACAGTTGATAAGAAGTTAAAAGTCCAAAATACTTAAGGAACTAAAAAAATTCAATAGTATGAAAAAAAAATTTTTTAGCATGGCAAATGATGTGAGCAATTATTTCTCAACAGAAGACATATAAATGCCCAACAAATAAATGAAAAAATGCTGCTGGGTGCAGTGGCACTCACCTGTAATCCCAACACTTGAGAAGGTGAGGTAGGAAAACTGCTACTTAGAGTACTGACTGTGTGAGCTACCAAGTGTAGGGAGTGGCTGAAGCTGGAAATACTTTGGTCCTGAGAAAAACATCTTGCCTGACACAATTCCAGTCATTAGTTCCTATGCAACCCTGCATCTCATGATACTAACTTTGCAAAAGTATAAATAAACACCCCTACAGTGACTGTCCAGTTCTCTTTTCCCATCTGGAAAGAGGTCACTTCACCCGACCTCAGCTTTTGTCTCATCTATATTTTCTCTGGGACCACTGAGAGCCATGCTGGCTTGCAGCAAGCAAGACCTTGTCTCAAAATAAAAAACAATAGTGGGGTGGGGATGTAGTTTAGTGTGAAAACTCAGTTGAAGCCCCAGTACTGAAAAAGAAAAGAAAAGAAAAAAAGAAAAGACAAGAAAAGACAAAACACCCCCCCCAAAAAAACCCAAACCACAATATAACTAATCATCAGAAAAATGTAAATCAAAAACACAATTATATATTATTTTACCCCAATTTGAATAACCAAAAACATAGAACAAATATTGGAGAGAATATAGAGAAAAGAGAATCTTTGCACACTATTGGGAACCTAAAGTAGTACAGTCATAATGCGAAGGAATATGAGTTTGATTTAAAAATTAAAAATAGAGCATACATATAATTTAATAATTCTATGCCTGGATACACATATAAGGGAAAAGAAATCAGAATCTCAGAAATACTTGCATTCCCGTGTTTATTGCAGCATTGTTCAAAATAACCAAGATATGGGTACTACTTAGCCTTTAACAAGAAAAAAGTCTGTCATTTGTGACAACACAAATAAACCTTAAGAACATTATAGTGTTTTTTTCTCTTTTTTTATTACCACATGTTTGCAGTACATAATGATTACCTTTATCATCGGGAGTTGTTACATGTACATAACACATCGTAGTTCTTTTCTTTTTCATCTCATATCACTCCCATTCTTCCCTGCTCCTTCAAACTCTTGGTCCCATTCCCATTTACAAAAGATCTATTTCTACTTGTTCTTTAATTCATTTTTCCATCCCCTCTTACTCTCCTCCCTCCTCTCCTTCCAGTTCTTGTTCTGCTTGGCATAAGTAGGAAGAGAGATCTCCCTACTTCCTATTATCTATCTTTCATTTTGCTCTTTATTTATACTATGGGTTTCTTATACAAGATAAAATTTAAATTTATGTGTCTGATTTATTTCACTTAATATTATGGTCTCAAGATGCATCCATTTATATACCAATGCCTCAAGTTTATCCTTCTTTATGGAAGAGTAGTACTCCACTGTGAATAAACATCTCATATTTTTTATCCATTCATTTATTGTTGGGTATACAGGCTGTTTCCAAGATTAAGCTACTATAAATTGTGCTGCCATGAACATGGGTATGCATGTGTCACTGTAATATGATGGCTTTAACTCTTTCAGAAAGATACCTAAGAAGGTTGAGGATATTATGTTAAGTGAGGATATTATGTTAAGCGAAATAAACCAGGCACAAAAAGACAGCTACTGTATGATTTTACTTATAGGTGAAATCTTAAAAAGCTGAACTCATTGAAATAAAGTAAAGTGGTGGTTACTGGAGGCTAGAGGGGGTTGGTGCTAGGAGTTGGATTAGAGAGTATTGGAGATAGGTCAGGAAAATATTGATCAAAGGAGGAAAAGTTCCTCCTATCAAAGTTCAAGAAATGTGCAGCAAGGTGATAACAGCTAGTAACAATGTGTTTATTTTTGAGACTTGCTAAGAAAGTGGATTCAAAAACATTCTCACCTCAAAGGAGTGATAAATATGTAAGGTAATATACATATTTATTAGCTCAATTTAGCCATTCCTTAATTTACTTATTCCTCAATTTAGGTATATCACAGAAACATATTTTTATTTGTCAAATAAATAAAATGTTTAAAAATTGAAAAAAACAAACAAGTAAAAATTATTTTGAGGAGATTAAGGGCTCAAATACTAGCTCATAATTTTATAAAGAATTGTAATAAATTGTTTACTTTTTCCTAAGATTTGAAAAAGAAAAAATGTGAAAAGATATTTCTGTTCCATTGTTTGTCAGAAAAAAGTTATTGACAGAAAGTGTTGCTAGATAATTGAAATTATTTACCAAAGGATATTGTAAAGCCTAAGCCCTTGAGTAGATAAAATTATAAGATGAATTCTCATTTGCCTGCAAAGAAGCAAGGGATGACTTTAATGACCTCCATTAAGCTAATTCTATCCAGTAATGTTATGCCTAAATTTTGTGCAAGTTGTTTGCTTGTTTAAGAATCAGAATGTTTTTCAGAGAGCACAAAAGCAATGAAATGTAGATATAAATTGTCTTCAGAAAAACATACCTTTTGATAAACTGCTCTAAGAAACATACATTAAAAATCCCTATAAACTCCATTAATATTTTACCCTTTTAAAAATATCTTCTCTTCTCTTTGAAATCTTTTTCATGATGGATTTTTCTTTTCCACTTTCTAAATAGAGAAGAATGACATATGTTGCTGAAAGACTATTATAATACTTGAGATAATACTCTAGTGTTAAAAATTACTGATTCAACTAAGAATAAAGCAGAAATATTTTATCATTTTTAGTTGTTAATATTTAGTATTTGCTCACTTTTACTATATAATAGAAATTCCGGTTAATGTAATAAGATATACAAAAGTAAGTGGCATAATTTTGAAAAGGAAGAGAACATTATCATCATTTATGTGGTAAGGTTTTTTGGAAAATGAATACAATTTTTATTTCAAAAATCAGTTTATATAAGGACATTTCCAAGTAATATCATAGTTTTGTTGTCTTTTTAAAAAATTAGTACATGTTTGAGTACACCTTGGGGAGTAGGTACATAATATAGCTTGATTCTTTTTTAAGTCCCTTCCTTCCTGCTTCCCTCCTTCCTCCTCTAAACCCCCTTCCCCCATTTTGGTTCTTGCTGATATTATTAATCTTATCTCATGTTTATGACATATAACATTTACATTCATTTAGGTTATGAGGTTCCTGTGCGTGGCATATCTTTATTGTATTTATTTGTATATGAACTGTGATTGAAAAAAATATAGTGAATGTATAAAATTTTTAAATTTTAAAAAATTATTACATAAAAGACATACTGCTATTTATCCTCCTCATAATGTCTACCCCCCCCCAAATTTGAGCACCCATATCCCATCATTCTTGCCACTTTGTGAAGCGGTTCTGGAAGTCCTTTCTTTGTCTTTAGTTGCATTATGCTGGCTGCCTTGATATCTGGAATATATTCAAAACATTTCCCTTTCACGGTCATTTTGACTTTAGGGAAGAGAAGAAGTCATGTAATACCAAATCTGGTAAATAAGATGGATGAGAACACACTGTAATATTTTTACAAGCCTGCCTTTGTTTTGGATGGCACTTAGCAATAGCATTCACTGTATTTGTGTGTGTGTGTGTGTGTGTGTGTGTGTGTGTGTGTGTGTTTCTCATACATAATTGAGACTCTCACTATGTAGCACAGAGTGGCCTTGAACTCACAGGGATCATCCTGCCTCAACCTCCCGCCGAGCTTTACAGGCATGGACTACCACATCAGACAAACATTCACTATAGTTTTAATCATGCCTGTACCAACATGAAAGAGGACTTTCAGAACTGCTTCAGAAAGTGGCAAGAACTATGGGATAAGTGTGCTTGAAGTACACTATCAATCATAAGTCTTTGGGACTGAAGCCAGTTTCTGTAATTTTACAACAAAATCCAATAAAACATCATTTCAATAAAAATCTAAAGAACAATTTGCTCAGAATAACATAAAAATATGCAGCTATTGCCTACTTTGAAATTTTAATAAATTTACAAAATGTAGAAAACATTAGACCTAATAAAAATAGATCTGGTCAGTATAGGCTAAAAAGAATCTATAAGATTGATTTCTCTTCCCATATTCTTTTTTTTCTTTTTTTCTTTTTTGCTCTGCAAGGACCCTTGCAGCAGACTATCATTCAATATAAAGGCTATATAATGTCAGGTCCGTGAAATTGCCCAGATACATTTGCAGAGGGTAGGTTGCCATACAAATTTCTTTCTTTTTTAATTTTTTGTTTGTTTGTTTTGAGACAGGATCTCACTATGCAACTCAGGCTAGCTTTCAACTTACTATGTAACCCCAGGCTGGCCTTGAACTTTCAATGATCCTCTTGTCTCAGCCTCCCGAGTGCTGAGATTACAGGCATGGGCCACCACGCCTGGCTGCAACACAAGTTTCTGAATCAATTCTGGAAGCACAAGACTATGCAAGATCCCACAGCTACCTACCTCATAGAAATGTCCTCCAAGAATCAGCACAGACTTCCTTCCAGCACATTTTTTAATCACCTTGATTGCTTTTGTCACATGCAATTTGGTTTCAGGAGTGCTAGCAGAACAAAATTAGAGAAAAATCTCTATGATATGCAATGGCCCCAAATGCATATTGTATTATCTAGTAATATTTCTTTGGTTAACTTGAGCTAATCAGAAATTTATTTTCACTTTATGTTTCTCCCAGCTTTTGTTGGAACTATATTGGTTTTTAAAAATTTTTATTAGTACATGTTTGTAGTATATAATGATTACATTAACTGTAGGGGATTTGTACAGTACATATAACATAACACATTTCAGTTCTCTTCTCTCACTCCCTCTCCCCTCTTATTTCCGCAGCATCAGATTCATTTATTTACTTTATAAGAACTTATAAAGTTAATTATCATATACACAGATTGAAAACCAGACTAACAGGCCAAAGAACATATAAAACATGTAAGACAATTGTACTGTTAAGGTACACTTTTATATACCCTTTCCACAGTGGACATAGCTTTTTACTTCCTTCTCTTTTTTCCTATTATCAGTTGGAAATATTTCACAGTGTGTCAATGTCCTTTCCTTCTTTAGAAGTCCAAAATCCAATTTTATCCTTATCTCAGTTAATTTGTTCTCACATAGTTTGAAGCAAGTTATTTCCAAACTCTCTTTTAAGTGTTTCTTAAATCATGCTCCTCTAGACTTCTCTGATTTGAATTAGGTTATTATGCCAACAAATTAATCTCACTCAAATTTATGATAAATAAGGCACTAGATAACATTTTTGTCAAAATAACAGTTTATTAAATATAAGCACCAGCTATCCTTTATTGGTAGTAGGATATGGGAAAAAGTAGAATTTTTTTTAAAAAGTCACTTAATTGCTATACAGGAGTAGTTCATAGCATTCTATAAAATAAAAATCATGACTTTAGGTATTCCATTACATGACATGTTTGAAAATTAATATCTTTTAGTTAACTGTGAGCTTATTTTCCAAAACCAAAATCCAGAATAAAGGGACCTGACAAGTATTTTCTCATCTGTGCATTTATATATGTCTTTCAAAGGCATCAAAATGAAATCACCCACTGCTTTAGAGACTAAGTCCTAAATGATAGACCTGTTCCTGGAGGTCAAAAAAATTTGGGACTTCTCTTTTTCTTCATACTTCTGGTACATAAAAATCAAATATGGAGAAACTCAGTATATTTTCAAAGTTTATGTGTAATACACAATGCAATGCAATTATCTTACAAATTAATTACAAGATTTATTAAAACTTATTAACCACAGAAAAACAACAACCGTGAAGTGTAATAAGTCGACGTAAATCCTATGATGTCTTTTATTCTAAGATGAAGAGGTATTTCTGTGACTCAATTGGAGAGGAAATCCAGTTGGAGGCCCTATCTGAAAGTGAAGCCAAAGGCCCTCCTGCTCACTTAAGACTGTTTGAGATTGCTCAGCACTCTCCAATATAAACCTCAAGTATGGCAAGATTGAGTTTTCATATTCTCTTTCCCTCCTCTTTTTGATTTTTGCAACTTCTCCTAACGGAAAGCATTCCATATTTCAAAGTCTGATTCACACTCTGCATCTTCTAGGAAGCTTTTTCTGACTGTGAACCTTGACCTCCAAGATTATTAAGAGTCAGTCTGTCGGTGCTAATTTCTGTTCGTTACATTCTGCCTTGCAAATTCACCTTTCTTCCTATCTTAAAGTCAGGCCTGGACCTGGGGGATGGACTCCTTTATGTCCCACTAACCCTGACAAAGCACTCAGTAGGCATTCGGTAAGTAATAAGCTGACCCACACTGGATACAAAGCAAGCACTGCTCTCCAGCGCTCAAGAACGCAGCGGTTTTCCACCGCATCGTTTCTATGATGGGGAAGACTGAAAAACCGGGTAGGGACAAGTCCCACAGGCCCGTGGGGCTCTGACCCAAAGGCTCCCATGGGTCTGCATCCTTCTTGCCACACCATCCACTTGCCCTGGGTATGTCGGCCCCTGCAGGCTTTCCCACGTAATAAGGCTCCAATACAAGCACAGGACACTCTGCAAGAAAGCTCACAGCGTCCCCGAGAGTGGCTGCAGCTGTCCCTCACCTGAGTGGACGGCACACCTGTTGTCCTGGAAGCCAAGGCGGGGCACCGTGCCTGGAGGGTTGGGCAGGGCCACCAACTGGTAGCTCCAAAAGCACACGAGCCGGGCAAGCTCGGAGCATGCGCAGTGCGACCTGGGTCAGCCCCCAGAGCATCGTGCCTTCCAGAACCTTCTGAGCCGCGTGCCTGTCTCTCGCTTCTCTTGCTTGTGGCTCGCCTGAGGCTCCAGTCGGGCAGCCTCCTGCGACCTCTCGTGTGCAGTACCTCAGCGGCGGGAGCTGCCCCCGGGCGGGGTTTGTTATGAAAGAGCCCAGGGCGGGACTGCCCAGGTCGCGGGGCCCCAGCCTCTGGACCCGCGCGCGGCCGGCTGCGTGGGTGGCGCTGTGAGCACGCGCCGGGAGGGGCCTCGCGCCGGGGCCGGGCGTTGCCGCCGGCGCCGCGCCGCGCTCGCCTGGGCCTCTCTGGAGGAGAGGGGCAGTTTGACTTAAGGGGGCTGGAGTGTGACATCCACAAAAGCCCTGTCAACAGGCGAGCGTGTCCCCCCACCCCTACGCTTGCTATTGGCACAACAAATTTAATATTTTTGAGCCCTAAAATAGGGCGTGCTCATGTAGTATCATACTTGCTTGATAAACAAGACTTCTTCTGCTTTTGTTTTTATTTTTTCTAGTGTCTCACCTCAAGTTAAAATACTGAGTCATATTAACATTTATGTGCTTCGAAACTTGGGAAACTAGGGTGGGGGTAAAGTTAGGGAATTCACTAGTGTGGAGCGCAGTACAGTTCCAGTGCTTACCATTCGCTCAACGCTGGACAAATGTTTACTGGCTGCCTTCCCGGTCAGGCGTAACACTTGGCGCTGCAATGCTGGAGAAAATGGTAACAAGGGCAGCTGTAGCTGTGTGTAGGGTTGCGTCGCAAAGTCCCTCCATCCCGATGTGGGGAACCGAGTACTATCATACATAATTCTTACTAGATATGGATTGAATTCAAATCAGAGCCTCTTTTTCTAACGTAAATACTCTATTTATGTAATTCTCTTAAATTTTTCAGTTATCTTGTATGAGCCTATTAAGAATTTTTAAGCTTTGGTTCTGTATTCTGAATGCACATATTATGTTAACATAAAAATACTATTAATCTTTTTATTCTGATATTCAAGACTCTTTTAGAATTATTTTTATTTTTAAATAGCACAGTGACAAAAACTAATACTGTCATAACCTTACAGACCAAAATAAACTATAGTGTCTCTGACAGTGTTGCACTGAAACAATATTAGGAGAGTTTCATTTGAGATTAGTAAATCCTACCGTGCCTTCGTTTCAGTCATTTTGGTAGTGAGAGGGAAGCAGCACTGATTCGTCCACTGCCCGGGGTGGTAGAGAGAGCCAGACACAGGAAAGCAACGAGAAAGAGGCTCCCTGAATCAAAATCTCGCATCAGAGGGGTTTAGAAAAGGCAGGTGGACTGCTGGACCGTGTTACCCCAACCCCTGGATCTGGTGTACACAACCCTTTGGGAAAAGTTCGAGCTCCCTGAGGGAGAAATCTGGCATTTCAAGGACAGCCAGGATGATGGAATAAGTTCCCAATCCTTCTACCCTCCCCACCAGGAGAGAAACAGCAACGTCAGAGAAACTGAAAAGCAGTGAATCGTATATGAGAGGATACCAGGCACAGTTTAAAAACAAGCCCACCATTTTCAGTGGCTGTGCCAACAAGCATTGCCTGCGAGTGGTGGCACCCTGGGGAGATAAGAGACCAATCTGACTCAGAAATACTCACCCACTGCTTCCCCAAACAGTGGCAGTGTGATGCCCACAGGTGTCCTGTGCATAGTCCATGTCCTCCAGTAGAGACCCACATAGGAGCCACCAACAACCTCCTCCAGGGGTTGTTGAGTGCAGTGAGCCCTACAAACCTTCTAAATTCCTGAGTCAGCAAGTGATGGTTTAGGCAGAGGGACTAAGGAAGGCCTGAGGGCAGAGAGACAGAGGCTCTGTTTCCTAGTCTTTAAATTGTTTACTTCTGTTGTCCATATTTTCAACATATTTTTTAATCTTTTTTGTTTCTGTCTGGCATCTTTTCTATGAACTTCAGTTCTTTTCTATACTGGTCATTAATGCTTTGTATCATTTTGTTTAGCTCAGCTAGCTTTTCATTAGTGCCTTCTATATATCGCTGATCACTTTTTCAAATTAGGCCTATTATCTGCTTAGTTATATGTTCATGGAGCTCTCCAAGAGCCTTATTGATATGTTTTGTTATCTCATTTTATTCTTTTGAATAATTTGGCTGGTAGCTTTTGATTTCCTCTCCTTTAATGTCCCAGGCATCAACTTTGGGGGAGCTGGGAGCCTTTGGAGGCATTCTGTTGCCTTGTCTTCTCATGTTTCTAGATGTGTTTTTTATGCAAGCTTGCAGCTTGATTTCAGTGGAAAGTTTTGTTGCTAGTATGGAGACTTCCATACTTAACATCTGCTTTCGTCAGTGCTCTCTGGATGTGGATAACTACTGGCCTTTGCTTGTCTCAGGATCCAAACACCTTTCTTTATTTAAGAGGGGAGCCTCCAGCATGACCAATTACAGAGGGACCTTAGTTCATTGACAATGTTTGTTTGCAAACAATTAGGTTTGCAAAAATTTGGTTTTGTTTGTAAAATCTGCATTAGGTGACAAACACAACCATGGCCATTTTTCCCACATAAACACAAACGTGGCCATCTTTTCCAAAATCATAGAAAAACAAAAGTTCATGAACTGAGCTACCCCTGTAATAATAAAAATCAGCATTAATAAGAGCATCAAAGACAAACTGGATATTGACATACCCTATGAATTAATAATGAACTTCCCTTAAACATTGAAAAGGTTGATAATTATACTATAAACACTAAGACAAACCAAATATTTACCTACAGTAAATATCTACCAAGCCAGTATTCAACAGCAAGAGAATAGATTTAACTAGCTGTCTAAAGATTCATAAAGCTTAATAGTTACACAAGTAAAGGTAGATGGCTGAGAAAACTATGAAAAAGTACAATTTTTAAATTAATTAATGGGAAAAAATAAAATAAAATTAATTAATGAAAGATGAAAAGGAAGATAGTAAAATAAGATAGGGGATCCTATTGAGGAGTAAAGGGAAACTGATAATACTAGAAAGTAGTCGCAGAAAAGAACAACATGAAAAGGAAGAAAAGGCAGCAAAATACAGTAAATTAAAGAAAGAAGAATAGAGAAAAAGTTAAAGGGGAACAGAAAAAAGGGAGAAAACCCTCCAAACTTCTCCAAACAAAACTGATGAAGGAAAGAGAAAATTTTAAAAAACAGAAAGGTTTAAAAGATTGAATAAAAATTATTCTGTGTTTTTGAATGAGTGGCTTCTTTCCAGCATCAGCACACTTGGAATTCGGCAAGTCATGATATTCTCTGACCTTAGAGTCTGCAGGTTTGTGAGGTACCCTGCTTGTACCAGAGACTCTTTTGTTCATTTACCCCAAACTGTGGTATCCGTCAAAGCTGAGATGTGCCTTTCCCCACATGGGTAGATAGGAAAGCAATCAGTCCTCCTTTCTCTGCTGGATGTAGGCCACAGGGTGGGGCTTCAAGCAGACTGTTGGACTTAATGTCAGCACTTGCTGGACCTGCTTTCTCACTATGGAGGGAATTTCTTGATTTAAACTTTTTTGAGCTTACACTTCTCAGGAGGTCTATGTGTAACCCACACCCTCTCCATGGCAGTCTTCCCTGGTTGTCTGCCACCCAGCCACTTTGGGAAGGCAACGCTGGAATCCCTAAAGTTTCTTGCCAACTCTGTACTTTCTCTCTGGGTCCACTGAGCCCTCACGCTTACCTTTTCTCCTCTGGCATTGGCACAATCCAGGATCAGGTCAATCAGTCTGTGCTTCTGCTGCCCCTTTCCAAGGGGAAGCAAAACATAAAGCCAGCTTCGAGTTGGTGGATGATCACAGCTAGGGCATGGAGTCTTCAGGCATGGAGTTGGACAGGGACCAACATCACAGCCCCATCTGGTCTGTGAGGCTCATCATATAAACTTAAAAAATCAGATTCCTCTACCATCTTACCCACCTATTCACCAGAGAATTATTTTAGTAGCTTGGAGTACGGTTTAGAATCTTTTTTTTTCTAAATTTCTTTAGATGATCATGATGGGCAGCTAGGTTGGGGAGTCACTGATAATCTCAACCTACCTCATTTTAGAAGGCTATAAACATGAGCTTAGAGGTGTATTATGATGTCCCAAGGTCACATAAAAAAGTTTGTATTAGCACTAAGACTTGGTATGACTTTCTAGAGTTCTTTCTAAGAAGTCTTATTGAATCACAGGTATCTCTCTCCTATTGGAAATAAGGGGAACAGGAGGAAGTAGTTGCAACTTTTCTTTTTCTATTTTTAACTATAAAGAAGATAATTTCCTAGATTAAAATTTTACAGATATCACTATATATTTGCCAACTAAGTAGAATTTTATCAGAACCAAAACCATCAATATTAGTGATGTTTTTTGCCTTTGTTTTTTAATTTTAAAGAGAAAAAAAAACACAATAAAATAGAGTTTCAAAACAGGCTAGTAGGAAATTTATAATAACTATACATCACATATTGTTGTTCTCACAGTAGTTATTCAGAGTACAAGATATAGGCATGATATCTTGTTCAAACAATATTAGCACAAACTTTTCTTTTCAATGAGCTAGGAGGAACTAGCTGTATAACTATCCGAACTATCTTGTGTATAAATATATTTTTTCTTTTTCCCTTTCTTACTTTCCCCCACAGTTTGTCTTTCCCCTCACTTTTTGTCTTTTCTTTTGAACAGTTTCTTTCAATTCACAATATCTGTATATTTTGTATCTTATTTACTCTTTCAGTTTTTCACACTAGTGAGACAATATTATATTTACATATACAGGTCTGATTTATTTGACTTATGAGTATGGTCTCTAGTTGCATCCATTTACCTATAAAGGCTCAAGTTTATCCTTATTTATAGCTAAGAACTACTCCATTATTTTAAAAAACCACATCTTTTTCATTCATTCCTCAGCTGATGGTCATTTGGGCTGTTTCCAAGATTTAGCTATGACAAATTGTGCTGCTATAAACATGGGTGCACATATACCAATGTGGTATGATGTTTTCAGTTCTTCTGGAAAAATACCCAGAAGGGGAATAGCTGGGTTGAATGGGACCTGTAATCCTAATTTTGTGAGAAATTTCCACACTTATTTCCACAATAGTTGTATCAGTCTACATGCCCCCCAACAGTGGAGAAGGGTTCCTTTTTCCCCACAGCCCCATCAGCATTTGTTATTGGTTGATTTCTTGATGACAGCCATTCTTTCTGGGGTGAAATGGAATCTCAGTGTTGTTTTAATCTACATCTCTCAAGTGACGTTGAACATTTTTTCATGTATTTACTTGCCATTTGCATTTATTCGTCTGAGAAGTATGTATTTATCTCAGATGATCATTTTTGGATTGAGTCTTTGAATTTGGGGAGTCTTGATTTTTTTCAGTTCTCTATGTTCTAAATATGCGTCCTTTGTCTGCGGGACAACTAGCTATAATTTTTTCCCACTCTATAGGCTGTCTTTTCACTCTGTTGGTGACTTCTTTTCTTGTGCAAAAGCTTTTTAATAAGGTAAAATCCCATTTATTGATTCTTTGTACTATTTCCCTTGCAGTGTGGATTTTATTCATGAAGTCCCTGCCTACACCTATGTCTTTGAGAATTCTACCTACTTTTTCTTCTAGTAAATTTAGTGTCTCCATTTTAATATTTAGATCTTTGATCCATTTTGACTTTAGTTTAGTGCATGGTGAAAGACGGGTCAAGTTTTAGTCTTCGGCATGTGGAAAGCCAGCTTTTCCAATACCATTTATTAAAGAGGCTATCTTTCTTTCAGTGAATATGTGTGGCTCCTTTGTCAAAGATAAAGTGGCAGAGTGTGTTTGGGGTTGCATCTGCATCTTCTATTCTATTACATTGACCCTCAGGCCTGTTTTTGTTTTCTAGTTTTTTTGGGTTTTTTTTTTTTTGCAGTGATGTGTTTTTTCCTTCCTTTCATTCCTTCAAAAACAAATCAAGATCACACTACTAAAGCACTATAAAAGTGCTTTAGTTTGTTCCTCTCACCATATACAAAATTCAACTCAAAATGGGTCAAACTTTTAAATATAAGAACTGAAACTATGAAACAAGTAGGAAAAAGTGTAAGAGAAACTGCAGGACATGGGCTTTGGCCTGGGCAAAAAATTTGGGGTAAGAGTCAAAAGCACAGACAACAAAAGCAAGACAAGTTAACATACCAAATTTAAAAACTTGTGCATAGCAAATGAAACAGTAAAAACATAGCCTGAAAAATGGAGAAAATACTTTCAAGCTATTAATCTGAGAAAGGATTAGTAAATATATATTTAAAAACATACAACTCAACAGCAAAAACAAAATAAGACCAAAAACCATCTTTGGTTGCGTTTCAGTCACTTTCTTATTATTGGAACACAATGCCCAACAGTCACAATTTAAAGGAGGAAAGGTTTATTTGGGCTAATATTTTGGCTGCTGGTTCCAAGGCAAAAGCAGCATGGTTTAAGTGCCTCACTGAAAAAGCTGCTCATGTTATGGTGGTCAGGAAGCAGAGAAGGGAAAGCGGAGGAGTTGGAGGAAGCTACACATTCCAGGTCATGCTCTTAATTACCCCCTTTTCCTGACCAGGCACCAACTCCTAATAGCAAATCAGCTACACCACCCCCATGGTCCAGTCCTCTTCCAGAAGGCCAACTATAAACATATGAGGTGTTGGGGGACATTCTGGATATTAATCATAATAGATGCTAATTTTAAAGTGGGCAAATGATCTGAATAAATATTTCTCAAAGGAGATATTCAAATGGCCAACATGCATAAGAAAAATCCTTAATAATGCTAATCAACAATAAAATGCAAATCAGAACTACACTGATATATCTTAACCTGGTAGAAATGGCTATTATAAAAAATGACAAGAGGTAACAAATCTCTTGTCATTTTTGATAAGGATGTCTGATAAGGATGGCAGAGAAAGGGAAACTCTATGTCCTCGTGGTGAGTATATTAGTCACATTTCTATTGCTGGAATAAAATATCTGACACACAACTAAAAGGAGAAGTTTATTTTAGCTCATCCCTTCAGAGGTTTCAGTTTTTGGTCAGCTGGCCCCAAGATATAAACATAATAGAGGGAAAGGCGTGATAGAGAAAAGCTGTCCACTTCATAGAAGCCAGGAAGCAGAGCATAGGGGAAGAGTCATAGAGGAAAGGGCCAGGGAACAGAAACAGTCCCCAGAGTTATGCCCCCATTATTCACTGAGCCACACTCAGAGGTGTGCTTCAGTAAGCCTGTAGGCCTCTCTTAGCCAATCAAGCTGACAATCAATATCCATCATCACAAAGGAAATGTAAATTAGTTTAGTTATTATGGAAAACAATATGAATGGTCCTCTAGAACTATTATGATCCAGCAGTCCCATTACTGAGCATATATCTAAAGAAAATGAAGTATATATGTATGTCAAAGAGCTATCTGCAGTCTCATGTTTCTTGAAGCATTATTCACAATAGCTAAAATATGTAAGCTACCTAGGTGTGCACTGGGTAGATGAAAGGATAA